AACAGAATAACAGAGTTGGAAAGACACTTGGAGGTAGTAATAGTAATAGTAGTAAAGTTGGAAGGGACCTTGGAGGTCATCTAGTCCAACCCCCTGCTCGGGCAGGAAACCCTACACCATTTCGGACAAATGGCTGTCCAGTCTCTTCTTAAAAACTTCCAGTGTTGGAGCATTTACTGCTTCTGGAGGCAAGCTGTTCCACTGATTAATTGTTCTCACTGTCAGGAAGTTTCTCCTTAGTTCTAGGTTGCTTCTCTCCTTGTCTTCTAGTCCAACCCCCTGCTCAGGCAGGAAACCCTATCTCATTTCATACAATTGTCCAACCTCTTCTTAAAAACCTCCAATGTTGGAACACCCACAACTTCTGGAGACAAGTTGTTCCACTGATTAATTGCTCACACTGTCAGGAATTTTCTCCTTAGTTCTAGGTTGCTTCTGTCCTTGATTAGTTTCCATCCATTGTTTCTTGTCCTGCCTTCAGGTGCTTTGGATAATAGCTTGACCTCCTCTCCCTTGTGGCAGCCCACTGGCTATTGGAAGACTGCTATCATGTCACCCCTGGTCCTTCTTTTCAGTAGACTAGACATACCCAATTCCTGCAACCGTTCTTCCTATGTTTTAGCCTCCAGTCCCTGAATCATCTTTGTTGCTCTTCTCTGCGCTCTTTCTAGAGTCTCAACATCTCAACATTATAACTCCATTTGGGCACGATCAATTCGACCAGAACTTTGCATTTGGACAAAAGTAGAAGATGTATCTCCAGCCAGGATTTGTATCACCAAGAGACATCCAGATGCAAGTGGCATCTGTGCATACAAAATTGAAATGGTGTCCACTCCACTAATTTCATGTTTTGAAGTGGCTCGAGAGAACTTCCAACAGAGATAGCAATAGCCCTTAAGACACATTTACCGCTCCACAGCGCTTGACAGCCCTCTCTAAGCAGTTTACAGACTCAGCACGTTGCTCCCCAACAATCTGGGTCCTCATTTTACCCACCTTGGAAGGATGGAAGGCTCAGTCGACCTTGAGCTGGTGACAATCGAACTGCTGGCTGTTGGCAGAATTAGCTTGCAATGCTGCCTTCTAACCACTGCACCATCACGGCTCTTTAGATAAAGAATCTTTCTCTTTCAGTCACAGTCAATCCAGCTGCATTTCCCCCCCTCCATTTTGACAGTACAGGTAGTCCTTGACTTACAACAGTTCATTTAGTGACCGTTCAAAGTTACAACGGCACTGAAAAAGGGACCGTTTTTCACAATTATAAGCATTGCGGCATCCTCATGGTCATGTGATCAAAATTCAGACACGTGGCAACTGATTCGTATTTATGATGACTGCGGTGTCCCTGGGTCATGTGATCCTCTTGCTCAACCTTCCGACAAGCAACGTCCATGGGGAAGCCAGATTGCCTTAACCACCACGTTATGAACAAATGCAAGGATTCGCTAAACAAGCGCGGCAAGGTAGGTCGCAAAATGGAGCAACATTCACTTAACGAACGTCTTAGCAACAGGAATTTGGGGGGCTTTACCGCGTAAGTCGAGGATTACCTGTACAAGCCATTTCTATAGCAACAAGCCTACAAAATCCTGAACGTTCCCTATAGAATCTTCTCCATAAATTCCTCAAGAAGATTTTGCGATTCTTGTTAAGAAAACCAGTGTGCGTTATTCTGAGCCTCGCTCCCAGTGTGCCTTTCTTCTTCGCACACTTTCTACTTTCTGCCCAGCTATTTGCACACCTTCCCCTTTTGGCCAAGCAATTTTCTCCAGCCTAATAACAAAATATAAGGATAAAAGGCATCAACCCGTGTATATTTTGTGCTCCTGTTGCTTCGACTGTCTGAAGAACTGCACGTAGGCAAGCAGAACTGAATTTTCGCTCGCGTATATTTCATTTTTCTCCCAATTAAGGGTCACTCTCCTCTCATTGTTCAGATGGATTTAAAGTAGTCGAATCAGCCAAACAGGTTTTTTTTAAAAAAAAAAAAAAAAAAACAGCACCAGAGGCCTCTTTGCTACCCAATTCTCTATCACAGACTTAAGCCCATCACAGAGGCAATTCTGGGCAAATCTAATCAGAGCCGACAACATGTTTAACATTCCTGAAAGTCACTTCCCTTATCCAGAGCAGCCAGCAGTTACAACCAACATCCCAAAACTGAATCTCCGTTCCTCTGTGTACAGATCGATTGTGGTTATATAATGCCCTGAGCCAGTGTTTCTCCACCTTAGCAACTGGAAGATGCGTGGATTTCAACTCCCAGAATTCCTCAGCCAGCATTGGGAATTATGAGAGTTGAACTCCATACATTGTATGGAGTTCAACTCTCATAATTCCCAATGCTGGCTGGGGAATTCTGGGAGTTGAAATCCACGCATCTTCCAGTTGCTAAGGTGGAGAAACACTGCCCTAAGCCACATTTAGTTTTGATCACATTTGGCTGCTGAAGCCACGACAGTCAAGTTCACTTTCTCAGCAACGCCATAAAATGTTAGAATATGTAATCATACGGTTGGAAGGGATCTTGAAGGTCTTGAACGGGAGACCCCTATACCATTCCAGACAAATGGCTATCCTGCCTCTTCTTTTTTTTATTGAAAAGTTTTATACAAATTTTCCATTTTATCACAATACAATATCCCTCCCTCCCCCCCCACCCTAACCCTAAACCCCCCTCACTTCCCAGAGCTGATTACAGGGTTACAAATAAGCAAACAAATTCTAACTAAGCTTATCCAAACTATCAATAACCAAATCCCTAAAATACTTTAACTCAAATACAAAAAAAAAATTAAGGAAAAACATAAATAACAATATAAACAATTCCCACTTTAAACTATAAGTTAATCAAAAACTAAATGATACTTTCTAATCCCATATTTATTCTGTACATAGTTTATCCATCTTCTCCACACCGAGATGTATCTTTCTTGTGAATGATCCTTCAAATAAGCAGAAATTTTGGCCATTTCTGCTAAATTAGAAACTTTAAGCAACCATTCTTCTATAGTAGGCAAAGAATCTTTCTTCCAATATTGCCCAACCAATAGCCTTGTGGCTGTAATAAGATTCAACATTAAAATAGTTTCTTTAACATCACAATCCACAATAATACCTAACAAAAACAATTGTGGTGAAAACTTTATCTTTCTGTTGAAAGTCTTTTGAATGTTCCACCAAATCTTAATCCAAAAGGCTTTTATGTTTCTACACGTCCACCAAATATGATAATAGGTTGCATCCAAGCAACCACATCTCCAGCATATCCTGTCTCTTCTTGAAAACTTCCATTGATGGAGCACCCACAATTTCTGGAGACAAGCCCTTCCACTGATTAATTGCTCATACTGTCAGGAAATTTCTCCTTAGTTCTAGGTTGCTTCTCTTTAATTAGCATCCACCCATTATTTCTTGCCTTGCCCTCAGGTGGAGAGAATAAGCCAATCCCATCTTCCTTGTAACAGCCCCTCAAGTAGTGAAAGACCGTTATCATATCACCCCTAGTAATAAGAGAATAATAGAATAATAATAATAGAAGAGCAGAGTTGGAAGGGCTCTGGGGGTCTTATAGTCCAGTGGTTCTTAACCTGGGTGATATTGCCCCCCAGGGGGGCGATTTCATTTTTCAGGGGGGCAAAGGAACAAAAAGGGGGCGATATGGGGGCGATGGAGCGAGAAGTTTTGGGGACACTTTTGAGACTTTTTCGCACAGTGAATCGCTGTATAACTGTCATACAAAAACATCAGATCGCTCGCTATTAGTGGATTGAATTGTGTTTTCAAATGTTCCTCCAGCTAGCTTCAGTACAGAATGCCGTACATACGTGAATACACATCGCTTATCTTCGTGCGTGTTGCGCAGCAGCCTCTATCCATACAGTGGCGCGCCATTGGCCAGAATATGGGAGATTTGGGAAAAAGATTGGAAATAAATTATTTGCATCGATATGTCCTGATGGCAATTTTAAAGAAAAGAAAAAAAGTGTTTGCATAAATTGAAGAATTATTTCCTATGTTGTGATTGAGAGGTTATGTTGGGGGGGGGGGCGATGACAACTTCCTCATTGGCTCAAGGGGGCGATACATTCAAAAAGGTTGAGAACCACTGTTCTAGTCCAAACCCCTGGTCTGGAAGAACACACTATACGATTTCAGTTCTACTCTTGAATTTAGTTCGGTGTAGGATGTAGTGGGAAGTCAATGACAGTTGACAGCTTAGCACAGCATACAATCCCAGCCAACCATGTCTGTTAACAAATGGTGGTGCAAACAAACCACATATAATAGCTTGGGTGGTTTCACCTATTATGCTAAATCAAAAATCGAGCAGGTCCTTATATGGCTCAGGGAGATGTAGGAACCCATTCTAAAAACATTTTGAAAAAGACATTTCTCTACCAGGAATGAGATCTTGGAATCAAGCTAAATATCTTGATGAATGCAGAGAGTACAGAGAAAGGCAACAAAGATGATTAGGAGACTGGAGGCTTAAAACATATGAAGAACAATTGCAGGAGTTGGGTATGGCTAGTTTCGTAAAAAGGAGGACTAGGGTTGACATGATAGCAGTGCTCCAATATTTGAGGGGCTGCCCCCCAAAAGAGGCCAACCTCTTCTCCAAAGCACCAGAAGGCAGGACAAGAAACAATGGATGGAAACCAATCCAGGAGAGAGACGCAACCTAGAACTAAGGAGACATTTCCTGACAGTGAGAACAATTAACCAGTGGAACGACTTGCCTCCAGGAGTTGTGGGTGCTCCAACATTGGAGGTTTTAAAGAAGAGATTGGACAATCATTTGTCTGAAATGGTAAACGGTTTTCTCCTTGAGCAGGGAGTTGGACTAGAAGACCTCCAAGGTCCCTTCCAGCTGTGTTATTCTGAACAAGGAACGAGAGCGTTTGAGCAATTTGGAAGAAGATGCGACAGAACTTAGAAGGACAACTAAGGTTCAGCAGAAAGAGAAACAGCACAGAGAAGATAAACCATACCTAAGACCTGTATGTTTACAAGGCCTTTGCCGTGCACTGAAGGTCCGTTCATGATCACCATGTAGGTTCCAGTGTCGTTCAAATTTAAATTTTTAATGAGCAGGGAGCACCCAAAGCCTACGACTTCACGTCCGGTGTAGGAATTTCCATTTGTGGTTCCAGTTATTGGCGGTAGGTAGTAAGTGACAATCAGGTTTTCTTTCATTTCGATCCCTCGGTACCAGTTGCATACAATGAAGTTGGCCGCCTCGTGTTGGAGTGTCAGATTGACATTCTGCCCTTCTAATGTCTCTTGTGGGTTCTTGGAGATGGAGATGTTGTAATCGGTTGTTGAAGCTAGTTGGCCTTGAGCCAACAGGAAGGAAGAACTGAAGATGGAAGCTAGAATGTGGAAGGGGAGGGGGGAAAAAGGAGAAAAACCTCATTTGAAGCAGAATACCTATTCCGGCCACCCCACAGTAATATATCCTCAGAAGAATGTCGATGGAGATTCTCCATCATCCAAGCCCTGGTTGTCCCAAAGGTGTTTTTTCAAGAGGCAACTGGACTTTCTTGTTTTTCTTTGAAGACATTTCATTTCTCTTCCAAGAAGCTTCTTCAGGTTTTGAAGAACTCTTCGTTAGAAGTGAAGAAGCTTCTTTGGATGAGAAGCAAAATGTATTCGAGGAAAAAACAAAGAAAGTCCAGTTTCCCTTTGGGGTCACAAATGGCGGTTATATGAGTCTGGGACACTTCAATCATCATAAATACACGCCAGTTGCCAAGCACCCAAAATTGTTCACAAAACCATGCAGATTCTATGACAATTATAAAGCACGTAAGTCACTTCTCCACCGTTCCATCAGAACTGAAGAAGCTTCCTGGATGAGAATCGAAACGTCTTTTCCAGTTGCCTCTGGAAAAAGCACCTATGGGATACCCCAGAAGAATCTTAGCTGACTGACACCTGCCTGTTCCTCAAAATAATCTTATACATTTATTCTCGTTCAAAATTTGTAACCCTAAGGATGGCGAGGGACGCCATAACGATGGGAAGAAAGACATTCATCTCCCTAAATTGGTCAGAAAATTATAAAATGTCGGAAAAAAAATAAAAAGGGATGGTGGAGTTTGTTTATTTATTTCATACGGTGTAGCAAAATGCAACATAGTGCATAAAACTCACGGAAACAACATATCAAATGTGTATCAAATAGTTGAGCTAAAGGATCTAAAATCCACTATGTTTTTTTTTTTTCTCTTCTTTTCAGTGGTGAATGCTCCAACAGTGGAAGTTTTTAAGAAGAGACTGGACAGCCATTTGTCTGAAATGGTATAGGGTTTCCTGCCTGAGCAGGGGGTTGGACTAGATGACCTCCAAAGTCCCTTCCAACTTTATTATTATTATTATGGATCATCGCACAGTCAGCCAGATGTTCAGACTGGATTTGGCATTTTGTCTACCTATCGAGTCCTTGCCCAGGACATCATCATCATCATCATCATCATTATTATTATTATTATTAATCATCGCACAGTCAGCCAGATGTTCAGACTGGATTTGGCATTTTTGTCTACCTATCGAGTCCTTACCCAGGATCTGGGATAAGCAGATGTGGATGTTTGATGGTATTACAGATATTGTCGCAGGATGGAAGCAGTTCCAAGTAAGGCCGCCTTTTGCAATTGACTAATGGCGAATTTGTCAATGCCAGTGGTGTTCAAGTGGTGCTCCAGTTGTTTTGGGATTGTACCCAAGACGCTGCTGATTATTATTATTATTATTATTATTATTATTATTATTAAGAATAAACTAGATTCCTTTCTTACTGGTCCTCTCAAAATATGGTGGGTCTTAATTGTTGCAACCCATCGCATTCTCAGGGCTAAAATTCCTGAAAATTGAAGTCCAGGCATAATCTGGAGGACATGAGACTATAGACTGGTTATTTTGTATTCCAGCTATGACAATTATTGTCAAGAAAGTCTCGTCACAAATGTATCACTTTCATACAAAGCTTTCCTAGAGGAGAGCACAGTAGATTTAGGGGTCTAAATTTAACCCAGGATTAAAACTTTATGGAGAAGGTACTATATTGAACGATCAAGATTTTCTAGGTTTGTTGTTATAGAAATGGCTACAGTTGTTGACTTGTGAGAATTGAGCCCCACATTTCTGCCGTTAAGTGAAACAGGTGTTAAGTGAGTTTTGCTCCATTTTACGACCTTTCTTGCCTCAGCTGTTAAGTGAATCACTGCAGTGGTTAAGTTAGTGACACGGTTGTTAAGTGAATCTGGCTTCCCCATGGACTTTGCTGATCGGAAAGTTGCAAAGGGGGATCACAGGATCTCCCCGGGAACACGACGACTGTCATAAATACGAGTCGGTTGCCAAGCGTCTGAATTTTGATCATGCTGCAACGGGTCGTAAGTATGAAAAATGGTCACAAGTCGCCTTTTTCAGTGCCCTTGTAACTTTGGACACTGAATGAACTGTTGTAAAGCGAGGACTTGCCTGTATATATTATGATGTAAAAGGAAAAAGTTGAGGTTTCATTTTAGGACCTTATTCTACTGCACAAAAATGACTCGGAAGTCAAGGCCCTTTTATTCTCTCCCCTCCTTCTTCCTTACACCTTTCTCTCTCCCCTCCTTTACTCCCTTATTTGAATCGTTTTATTTTCATTTTTTTTCTCTGTATTTCCGTATTTTATATTTTGATTGGCTCATAACAATTTTGAAATTAAAAAAAAACAACGTTCAGGATTCTCTTTGATGGAAGATCATGCAGATGGGTGAAAAAAACCCCACATGACGTTGGTTTTCTGCTACACAATTAGCAGATGTGGAGGTCTACGCAGTAGAAAAACTATGCTTTGTATTTCCTAATACTTTGTAATGCACCCCCCCCCCCAAGAAAATTTGCTAAAAGGGGTGCCAGGTTCATTCTTTGAATGGCTGGCTGGCTGGCTTCAAATAGACAAGGCTAAGCCTGTCCAGCAAAGGGCGGCGTGGAGTTCGAATTCTATCCCGCTCTTTCTGGTGGATTTTAAGCCCTGCTATACCGGTAGTCTTCAGCATTTTGTGAGCACTTAATCAACATCTCAGCTTGTTGGCTGAACCAGGTGTCGAATGTAAGCCTTCTTTTGGTTCATATATTATATATTGAGATACAGCAGATTTTGAGAATTTAGCAACCGTGTTTTTTATTAAGCTGAGTTTAGGAGTTAGGTCTGCTGCCGTGCCCTCTGTAACGGCAACCCCCTTCTTCTCCAAAATTTGTGGGGCTCAGGAAAGGATTAAAAGCTTGGTTGTTCCCCCCTCCCCCTGGCCATGGTTACAGGATGGGCACAGAGTCCCCCCCCCCACGAGTTAAGTTTGGGTTTTGAATTGAATTTCTATTCTGCTCAGGCTATTTTGTTGTTCTTGCCCTAGCCTTGAAAATGGATTGAAGAAAGGAAGAAAGAAAGAAAGAGAGAGAGAGAGAGAAAGAAAGAAAGGAAAGAAAGGAAAGAAAGAAAGAGAAAGAAAGAAAGAAAGAAAGAAAGAAAGAAAGAAAGAAAGAAAGAAAGAAAGAAAGAAAGAAAGAAAGAAAGAAAGCAGGCTCCCGGTGCAGACAGCAGACAGGTAAGAGGGGAAGAAGCAACAGCTGCATATTCTCAGTTTGCAACAAGGGGGGGGGGGGAATTTCCAGGAAAACAATCGTCCCTGAAAAACAGGAGGCTTCCGTTCTGCAGGAAGATCTGGGCTAGATGAAGGACCTTCGTCCCTTTGGAGGCCAGCTGCGTTGCAGATGTTTGACGGGAAACCCCCCCCCCAACTCTCACCACTGATAGCCAGCTCAACCAACGATTAGGGAATCCCGGGTTAAGGCTCCCGGGAAGTTGGTCAGTTTCCAGCTGGGGCCAACCTGACCGGGAACAAACCACAGCCATCTGGGGCAGCAAACAAGGATTTTCGGGAATTCCCGAGGACCCCTCCTCCCTCCCCCAAGGGACCTTTCCGGGGAAAAACAGCGGGAGGTTCCAACTTCAAAGGGTCGAGCCGACGGGACCCCCCCCCTCGCCCCTTTTACCTGCCAGGAGAGCCGCCCGCCAGGAGCGCGTCCACCCGCGAGGGCGGCGGTGTCGCCCAGGTTCTGCCTGCCACTCCATGCTGGACCGTCCGGGCTCCGTCCGGCGTCGCCCCGCGCTGCTCGCCTGCCACCCCAGCCGTCAGCAGCAGCGCCTAGTGGTTTCTGCGCCCCCAACCGCCGGGCGAGAGAGGCACAGCCGGCCCCACCCAGCTCGGTTGCCCCGCCTTTGGGGCAGGGCTACAGCCAGCCCGGTCCGCTTAACGGGAAGCAGAGAAAAAGAAAGACTGGGTCGCGGGGGGGGGGAGGCATGAGAGCAGCACTGCAGTATTTGAGGGGCTGCCACCCCCAAGAAGAGGAGGGGGGGTCGACTTCTTCTCCAAAGCCCCCGAAGGCAGGAGGAGAAGCAACGGGCGGGAACGGATCAAGGGGAGAAGCGAGCTGGAATTCAGGAGAAACATCCGGACAGTGAGGATAATTAACCAGTGGAACGACTTGCCTCCAGAAATTGTGGGTGCTCCATCCCTGGCAGCTTTGAAGAAGAGCCTGGGCAGTCGCTTGTTTGAAACGGGATAGGTTCTCCTGCTCGAGCTGGACTAGATGACCTCCAAGGTCCCAAGTGTTTCTAGTTGAATGAACAGAAAGGACTAGGGGTTGGGAGGCTAGCAGGCTTCCACTCTCTCGGGGGTTGCCCCAAAGAAGAGGGGAGTCAATCTATTCTCCAAAGCCCCTGAAGGCTGGAGAGGAAAACCGTGGATGGAAACTGATCAAGGAGAGAAGCAACCTGGAACTTCAGGAGAAACTTCCTGACCGTGAGAACAATTAACCTAGGCGGATCGACTTGCGACTAGACGTTAGGAAGTGCTCCACCATTAGTTTTCAAGAAGAGAATGGACAGCCACTTGTCTGGAATGGTATAAGGCAGTGGTTCTCAACCTTTTTAATGCTGCAACCCCCAACCGGTCATAAATCAAGGACTACTCAACCGGTCGTAAGTCGAGGACTACTCAACTGGTGCAGCACCGTTTGCAGAACGGGACTTTGGGCGGGCTCAGCAGGGCAGAGACAGCCTGGACAATTCCTATTGGCTTTTGAAAGCCAATAGAATTAGACTCGATTCAAGAGAGTCTCTTCTATTGGCTTTCAAAAGCCAATAGAATAAAAGGAAGTAGCACAGCTAAGGAAAAGGGGGGAAAAATGGCGGACTGCATTGTTTGGCGACCCCCGTGAAATGGTCGTTCGACCCCAAATGGGGTCCCGACCCGCAGGTTGAGAACCAATGGTATAAGGTCTGCTTGGGCAGGGGGTTGGACTAGATGACCTTCAAGGTCCCTTCCAACTCTGTTATTCTGTAAACGTTGAAAAGAGAAGGACGAGGGGGGACACGATAGCGTTGTTCCAGTATCTCAGGGGCTGCCACCAAGAAAAGGAGGGTCAACATATTCTCCAAAGCATCCGAAGGCAGGACGAGAAGCAACGGGTGGAAACTGATCAAGGGGAGAAGCAACCTAGAACTAAAGAGAAACTTCCTTGACAGTGAGGATAATTAACCAGTGGAACGACTTGCCTCCAGAAATTGTGGGTGCTCCATCCCTGGCAGCTTTTTGAAGAAGAGCCTGGGCAGCCGCTTGTCTGAAACGGGGTAGGTTCTCCTGCTGGAGCAGGGGGCTGGACTAGATGACCTCCGAGGTCCCTTCCGGCTCTACTCTGTTCTGATCCTGATTCTGAGAGGCGGTCCGCAGCTCCCGGGCTCTCCTGCCCTACCAAGGCAACTGGCCGGGCTGAGGGGAGCCGCGGGGAGGCGCCGTTGCAAGCCGAGGTCGGACTCAAGTTTCCCCTCCGGGACGCCGCTCGCTGCCCAGTTTGGCTCGGCCGAATTGTTGGAAAGCCGCGCTGGGCCACGAAATCCGGAGCGGGCCGGGCACTGGCCTTGCGCGCCGTTTGGGCGCAGATCGGGTGGGTGAGCTGGATCGGGTGGACAATTCTCTCTCTCTCTCTCTCTCTCTCTCTCTCCCCCCCCCTCGCTTTGCGCTAAGCCCGATTTTGGGAAGGCAGCGGGCAGCTCGGGGTCCCTCCGCTCCAGGGCTTTGCGCGAGGCGAGGGACGAGCCCCCCCCCCGTCCTGGTCTGAATGTGAGCTGTGGATCGCTGGGGGGGCCGTGTCGCCAGTTTGGTCGCTCCCCCCTTCCCAAGACTTTTAAGGGACCCCGCACCTGCCCCTCGAGCGATTTCCCCCCTCTCGCCATTCATCCACACACACACACCCCCAGTCTACCCGCAAACCTTTATTCGTGGTTTCCTTAAGCCGGGCTGTTAAAACTTGCCGCTAAAAGGGAGCTGGGTTAGGATGACGCAGCCCCGCTTCGGAATAGGAATAGGAATAGAGGGATGGGATGGAATGGGATTGAAGAGAAGAGGAGAAGAATGGGATAGAATAGAAATAGGAATAGAAGAGAAGAATAGGATAGAATAGAAATAGAATAGAAATAGAAAGAATAATAACAGAAGAGAAGGATGGGGTAGGGTAGAGTAGGAATAGGAAGAGAAGAATGGGATAGAATAAAAATAGGAAGAGAATAGAAGAATGGGATAGAATAGAAATAGAAAGAATAATAGAGAAGTGAAGGATGGGGTAGGGTAGAGTAGAGTAGGAATAGGAATAGGAAGAGAAGAGAAGAGGAGAAGGATGGGACAGAATAGAAATAGGAATAGAATAGAAGAGAAGAATAGGATAGAATAGAAATAGAAAGAATAATAGAAGAGAAGAGAAGGATGGGGTAGGGTAGAATAGAGTAGAGTAGGAATAGAAGAGAAGAGAAGAGAAGAGAAGGATGAGGTAGGGTAGAGTAGAGTAGGAATAGGAATAGGAAGAGAAGAGAAGAGGAGAAGAATGGGATAGAATAGAAATAGGAATAGAAGAGAAGAGAAGAATAGGATAGGATAGAATAGAAATAGAAAGAATAATAGAAGAGAAGAGAAGAGAAGAGAAGAGAAGGATGGGGTAGGGTAGAATAGAGTAGAGTAGGAATAAGAATAGAATAGAATAGAATAATGGAATGAAGGAGTAGAGTAGAGTAGAGTAGAATAATGGAATGGAGGACTAGAATAGAATAGAGCAGAGCAGAGCAGAGTAGAATAAATTAGAATAGAATAGAATAGAATTGGAAGGGACCTTGGAGGTCTTCTAGTCCCACCCCCTGCTCAGGCAGGAAACCCTACCATTTCAAACAAATTCCAGGAAGGGATGGGGGAGGGGTGTTTCCGGGAACGAGCCAGCGAGGAGCAGCGGAGACCCCGCCGGACTTTCCACTTTCAAGCCGCCGGAGCAGGAATCACCCGGCCTCTACGGGCGCCCCTCCCTGCCCGCCGCCGTTTATGGGCACGACCCCCGCCTAGGACCCGGAGCTGGAGAAGCCTCGGAAGAGCCGCTCTGCCCTCCCCAGAGTTTGGCCGCAGCTTTTGGCCCTTCCACGCGGTGGGGGAGCTCCGCGTTTCGTCCCCCGCCCCCCTCCGCCGCGCGCGCGGAAAAAAGTCGCGTAAGTTGCAAAGTTGCGGCTCGTTTATTCTCTGCGCGCGAGAAGCTGCGCTTTGTTGCGCAAAACCGAAGGGAAAATCGTCCCGGGGGTTCTCCAGAGGAAGTCTGGAGGAGCGACGAGGGGGAACAGGGAACTCCCCCCCCCGCAAGGTAAGGTCAAAAAAGTCAGCACCCGACGGTGCGAGCAAAACTCTAGCTGCGACTTAGCTAAAAAAAACCACCTTAATAATAATAATAATAATGATGATGATGATGATGATGATGATGCAAGCAAGGGTAGTACCAATAGTGATAGGTGCCTTGGGTGCAATCCCAAAACAACTGGAGCACCACTTGAACACAATTGGCATTGACAAATTCTCTATTAGTCAATTGCAAAAGGCGGCCTTATTAGGAACTGCTTCCATCCTGCGACGATATCTGTAATACCATCAAACATCCACATCTGCCTATCCCAGGTCCTGGGTAAGGACTCGATAGGTAGACAGAATGCCAAATCCAGTCTGAACATCTGGCTGACTGTGCGATGATCGATGATGATGATGATGATCATGATGGTAGTAGTAGTAGTAGTAGTAGTAGTAGTAGTAGTAGTAGTAGTAGTAGTAGTAGTAAAGTTGGAAGGGACCTTGGAGGTCATCTAGTCCAACCCCCTGCTCAGGCAGGAGATCCTGTACCATTTCAGACAACTGGCTGTCCAGCCTCTTCTTAAAAACCTCCAGTGTTGGAGCACCCACAACTTCTGAAGGCAAGCTGTTTTCACTGTAAGTTCTAGGTTGCTTCTCACCTTGATGAGTTTCCACCCGTTGCTTCTTGTCCTGCCTTCAGCTGCTTTGGAGGTTAGCTTGACTCCCTCTTCTTTGGGGCAGCCCCTCAAATACTGGAATACTGCTATCATGTCACCTCTACAGTATATTCTTCTTTTCTCTAAACTAGCCATAACCCACTTCTTACAACTGTCCTTCATATGTTTTAGTCTCCAGGCCTTTCATCGTCTTAGTTGCTCTTCTCTGCACTTTTTCCAAAGCCTCAACATTTTTTTTTTGTAATGTGCTGACCAAAACTGGATGCAGTATCCCAGGTGTGGCCTTACTAAGGTTTTATAAAGCGATACTAATACTTCATGCCATTTTGATTCTGTGCCAAAGTCACTTCTATGAGATAAGAGGGGAGATGGAATAGAGAATGAGATGAATAAATAAAAGTCATCCTAAGAAATAGATCTGCGCAACCAGCCCCTGTCTGTGAAGAGGACGATGGTGGTCGAAGGGTTCCCAGTAGCAAACCGATGGCTGGACTGGTGACACTGGCTAAGGACGTGATGCCGCACAGCCCTGACTCCTGCTTACGCTATTCCAGACAATCAGCACACAATTGCTGCTGAAGGAGTTTATTTCTTTCCCTGTTTTATCCTGAATCCGACTCAAAATAATTTTGCACGGTGCCCCATTTGTTGCCATCAAGACATCAGATGTGGAAGATGAATCGGATGGTTCAGCAGGGCTTCATATTGATAAACTGGTTCACTTGGGTGGAGCAGCTGGGAACAAACACATAACATTGTTAAGTTTGGCTATAAACATTCTTAGCTTTGGTCAAGGAAACGGGTCTCGCCTTGCACACACGTCTTTCCCTGTCCTGCTCTTTTAAATGTGCTGGATTATGTCTGCCCCACCAGTGAGTCATAGGGACTTTACGTGAGAGCAAAGCCTGATGATCAAGGCAAGCTCGCCTAGTGGTTGATGACATGGTCCGGCGCTTGCTGTGATGATGTATTAAGACTGCAGACAGACAATGTCATGGTTCTGACAGATGAAACTCTTCAAAGAACTTTGAGGCATTGTTTATCTTAAAGCAGTGGTTCTCAACCTTTTTAATGCCGCGACCCCCAACCGTTTGTAAGTCGAGGACTACTCAACCGTTCGTAAGTCGAGGACTACTCAACTGGTGCAGCACCGTTTGCAGAATGGGACTTTTGGCGGGCTCAGCAGGGCAGAGACAGCCTGGACAATTCCTATTGGCTTTTGAAAGCCAATAGAATTAGACTCTATTCAAGAGAGTCTATTCTATTGGCTTCCAAAAGCCAATAGAATAAAAGGGAGTAGCATAGCTAAGGAAAAGGGGGAAAAATGGCGGGCTGCGTTGTTTGGCGACCTCCGTGAAATGGTCGTTCGACCCCAAATGGGGTCCCGACCCACAGGTTGAGAACCACTGTCTTAAAGAATCTTTATTTAAGAAGCATAGCATCGGCACGTACATGGTCGAAGCCAAAATCTGAATTCCCCTCCCCTGAACACATACTATCAAAGCATAATTCCCTCCTCTAATTTACGGTCATAAATCACATTCTCCAATTAGTTTGAAATGCAGACTTTCCTTATCCAACCCTCATCTTTTATTTCAAACAACCTTGAATCACGCACTACTACAATGTCTAACTAATTCCCATACACATTCCTCCCCCCCCCCCCCCAGTATCATCTAATTCTAACTCTCATTCGTCATCTTCAGGCTGGTGTTTTCGGCTTCGTGCTTCTAGGAGCACAAAGCATGAAGCCGAAAACACCAGCCTGAAGATGACGAATGAGACTTTGTTGAAACGTCGCCAAGACACTTCCAATTTGACGTGGGAGAAAACCCGAATAACCAAAGACCTACATACAAACACCCGTGAAAATCTCAGAAAACATATATATATGTTTTCTGAGCCAGTTTCATCTTGAGCAAAAGGTCCTTTTGTTGAACAATTTAGGTGCCTTTCTTTAAAGTGAATAAACGTATGGAAGTAAATCAATCAAGCAATCCCTCTCGCTTGCTTATTTATAGCATTCCAAATCATAAAACAAACAAAGTCGTGTTTACTGTTTTGTAGCATAAATTCAGAACAATCTTCAAAAGTCCCATCGGTCCAAGAATATCAAGAAAGGAACAGAGACAATGTGATTGAAGCTGGAAGGACTGGAAACACTTTGATTCAATGGTCCTCTGTTAAACTAACTAAACCATTAGATGAAGTAACACCAGTCAGGTTACCAGAAGTATTAGGAAAGAAGCTACAGTAAATTGCTTGAAATCCAGTTGGGAAACTGAAGCATCTGGATTTTTACTTTTGACCCAAAGGATCCCATAGCTACAGACATTCTCTTCTTTTAGATAGATAGATAGTTAGTTAGTTAGTTAGTTAGTTAGTTAGTTAGTCAGACAGACAGACAGACAGACAGACAGACACAAGATCACCACTATGATTATCGCTGCCACTATGATTATCCTATTTTGCAAAATAAAAGCAGGAATATGAAAGCAATAGAAAGACACAGCCCCAAAACCCCAGGAAGATGCACTGGGAATTCTAATGAAGATCTAACCTTCCACCCAAGCTAACATCCAGCCCTTGCAGACTCTGCTTATTAGAGGGCCTCATCCATACCTGTCCAAAGCACATCCACCAGGAGCTCCTCCATCCAAGGATACTGCCCACACCATCCATCGAGCAAGGTGGCTTTCTCCGAACTGGATAATTGGACAGTCTTCCTGTTCTTTAACTCAGAATCTGATCTAGTTAACACCAGTGTCCTTGACCAAGCTTTTATCTGGTTGAACTTGGCAGGTGTCCGTTTTTTTTTTTTAATTGTTCAGGTTCCTCAGGTTCTTCCTGAGCAGATGTACAGTTGGGATGTGCAAGGATGGCCTAGCTAGCCCATAAAAAATGGTCATTATGAAAAAAGATGAGTCATAGTAACCGAATGAAAAGCATCGCGAGATTTTTCTTCAAAGGATAGAAAGTGCTTCTGGCCTGCCTCTTGCAGAGACGAAGACGTAGAAGTAAAGGGGAAGGTGGTATTTCAATATAATTCCTATCGGATGAGGAGGGGGGCACGATGGCTCAGTGATTAGAGACATCCAGGTTTGACACCCAAGCTCCGTGCAACAGGGGGTAAGCTCCTGTTCCTTGCTCCAGCACCTGACCCCCTAGCACTGTGGTGGCGAACCTATGGCACGCGTGCCACAGGTGGCACGCAGAGCCCTCTCTGTGGGCATGCGCACTGTTGCCCCAGTCCTAGGCCTTCAGCTGGGTTTTATAAAATCTTTTCGCTTTAGGCCTCCGCCGCCGTGTGCAAAAAAAAACAAACGGTTCAATCAATTTCAACTTCTCGCGGGAAAAAAAGAGATCTTGCAAAGTTGGAATTGATTGATTGAACATTTTAGTCCCACCCAGTCTGCCGTTACCACCACAGCCATGCCTACCCAATGGGCCACACCCACCCAATTGGCAACACCCAGCCAATGGGCCACACCCACCCGGCACCTGATGATGCATAAGTGGGTTTTGGGTTGCAGTTTGGGCACTCGGTCTCTAAAAGGTTCGCCATCGTTGATCTATATAATCTATCACATCTATCTATCTACATCTCTCTGTTCAGTGACGGTTCTGAACATCCCCTTCACAATTGCCCTTATCTATAAAGGACATCCAGATGATTGGAGACAGACAGAAATTCCAAACTGAAGAGAAAATAATATTTGTATCAATAAAGCTAAAATTAGCACAACCAGTCCTACAAGGAATCTCTAAAGCTTACATTAAGCCAAGAAGGTTTATTCTAACCGGCAGAACTTGTCAATTGAAGAAGCTGCTGTGGATTAAAATTCTGACGGTTTGTAAAAGCAAATAAATTACAGTAATTTGTTGGAAGGGAATGTTCTTCCTCTTAAAGAGAATGATGTCTAGTTAAATTTATGGCAAGGAGATACTTTCAGTTAGTGAAGGGCAAGTCTGTCTCATCAAGAATCCACTTTATTCCCTTTTCTCTTCTTGGAAAAGTCTTCTCCAATTTCAGTAGCCCCAAGATTAATTCTCAACTCTTCTTCCCTATGAAGAAAAATTCAAGTAGTGAAGCTTGTATCTAGCACAGTGGTTCTCAACCTTTTTAATGCCGCGACCCCAACTGGTCTTAAGTCGAGGACTACTCAACCGGTTGTAAGTCGAGGACTACTCAACTGGTGCAGCACCGTTTGCAGAATGGGACTTTTGGCAGGCTCAGCAGGGCAGAGACAACCTGGACAATTCCTATTGGCTTTTGAAAGCCAATAGAATTAGACTCTATTCAAGAGAATCTATTCTATTGGCTTTCAAAAGCCAATAGAATAAAAGGGAGTAGCACAGCTAAGGAATAGGGGGGAAAAAATGGCGGACTGCGTTGTTTGGCGACCCCCATGAAATGGTCATTCGACCCCAAATGGTGTCCCGACCCACAGGTTGAGAACCACTGATCTAGCAGTTATGATTCTGCCCACCATCAGGTGAATGGGGCCATGCATAGAAGGCTAATACATGCCAATATTAGAAATAAAACCTTGGGTTTTATATAAAGAGCTATTAGGATAAGAAATAGAACATCTAGGTGAAATATAGTAAGAAGGTGTCTTTTGGAAAAATATGTTTGTTTTAGGTATGATAATTACTTTGATGAGATTTAAATTTTACTTAATGGGTTAAAAAGGCTTTTTAGAGAGATGGATTGATTTATAGAATATATATCTGAAATAGAGTGAGAATGTATTTTTTTTTGGAGTAATATTTTTATTTTAGGTGGGATAATCACTTTGCAATGGAAGGAGAACAAGAAAATGGATTGTGATAAAGGAAGACATGGCATTAATAAATGAGTTATTAGAATAAGAAATAGAATATATTTGGGAAATGTAAGAATGTAACTGTTGGAATAATATGTTTATTTTAGACATAACTACTAGGTTATGAAACAAGAGAATTTAAGGATACCTGAAGTGTAAATAATATATTTATTTAAGGCTAAATTGGGTTAATGGCAAGTTAGTAAAGCTTAAAAACAGGATTTGGACTTATATAGGTGAAATGCCATTGATAATTTTTTTTGATTGATTGAATTTTATTTAGAAATGTATTAATTTGAATATGTTATATTAATGGAAGGAAATAGAGAGGGAATTTTTAAAGAATTAACCTGAGCCATATATGTACGATTTTGTTTCTGGATGATTGATTACCCCATCACCACGTTGTTTCTTAAGCACCTTGATGTAAAAACTAAAAAACTAATAACACTTGTTCAAAAAAAAAAGAAAAGAAAGAAAAAGAAAGAAAACCTTGAAAAGAAAGCTGATTTAACTCTTGCTGATGGGACTGACAGCCGAGGCGGCCAGGATGAGCCCCCCCCCCAGGTGTGTCGAGAAGCAGAGACGGTCAACCTGGTTTGTGTTTGATTGCTCTCTTTTTCCCCTAAATTGCACCTGCCCTAGTTCTACTGGATTGTATTTGGTTCATTTATACTTTGCCTTTTGCATTTCTTCCCAGTGTAAACTGCTTCAAGGTTTGTGAGAATGGGAAGCAATTAACCAATCCATGAAGTAAATAATAAATTGACGACTTACTGACAAGGAAAGTCAATGGGGAAGCCAGATTTACTTAATAACTGTGGCAAGAAAGATGGTAAAATATTATTAATAATAATAATAATAATAAAGTTGGAGGAGACCTTGGAGGTCATCTAGTCCAACCCTCTGCTCAGGCAGGAACCCTATACCATTTCAGACAAATGGCTGTCCAGTCTCTTCTTAAAAACTTCCAGTGTTGGCGCATTCACCACTTCTGGAGGCAGGTTGTTCCACTGGTTAATTGTTCTCACTGTCAGGAAGTTTCTCCTTAGTTCCAGGTTGCTTCTCTCCTTGATTAGTTTCCACCCGTTGCTTCTTGTCCTGCCTTCAGGCGCTTTGGAGAATAGCTTGACTCCCTCTTCTTTGGAGCAGCCCCTGAGATACTGGAACCCTGCTATCATGTACTTTGGGCTCCATCATCGCCGTTAGTCAAGGACTATCTGTATTTCAGTTTTATAGCTTATTTCAATCAAAATAGACTCTGGGTAATGCAGTTTGAATTTATTCGTCCTTATAGTGGCACAGAGTAATATACAGTGTTTCAATCAATCATCAGTGAATCAGACTGTGCTTCCGTAGATTCATGTTTGGCTCACAGCTAAACGGTGATTTTTAGTTTCAGAAATGATATATAGTGTATTCTGTTAATTAAAATTTATTAATGATGCTCTGAGCAATTACGATTTCCCTAACATTAATAAAGGACATCCTTGACTTATAACCGTTTGTTTAGTGATCGTTTGATGTCAAAACGACATGGGAAAAAATAGGACAGTGATGGCGAACCTTTTAGAGACCGAGTGCCCAAACTGCAACCCAAAACCCACTTCCGCATCGCCGGGTGCCAGGTGGGCATGGCCCACTGGGTGGGCGTGGCTGTGGTGGTCATGGCAGACTGGGTGGGTGTGCCCAAGCTGGGCATGGTCACCTTGATGTTGCTCGCAGGGAGGGATGCCTATGGAGACTGGGCAGGATTGGGAGAGATCCACGGGGTCTCTGGCAGGTGGGGTGGTGGGCAGGAGGCTTGTCCTGCAGGGTGAGGTGAGGTGAGGCAGGGCAGGGGTGCCATTGCCGCAGGGTGAGACGGGTCGGGGCGGCTGGTGCCTGACACCATCGGCCCCTCGCAGAGGCCAGCGAGCGCATGGCGGCCAACAGTGTCCGTCAGCAGCCACAGCCTGCCGGCCCCTTGACTGGTGCACTCTGGGGCTCTACAGCCCGCCGCTAACAGTTCAGAGAAGCCGCCTCTGAACTGGACGGTTGGCCGACAGCTGAGGAGGCAATGCAGTGGGTGGTGCCTAGGAAAAGGAGAGCATGCGAAGCCAGGAGGGATGGGACGGAGGGGAGAGAAAGCAGCCGTGCTGGGATGCATCTGGGCACGTGGAACCTCGGCAAGTTAGCGGGCGGCTGCTTGAAGAGGGATCGTTGCCATCTCCGGGGCATGGCACGCGTGCCCACAGAGAGGGCTCCGAGTGCCACCTCTGGCACGCGTGCCATAGGTTCGCCACCACTGAAATAGGAGTTGAAAACCAATGGTTTCAAGTCAAAGATTCCCTGCGTTGAAATGAGTACATTTTTAATAAGAACTTAAACAAAGCAAAAGTATTTTTCTGGGATGTGGAAGAGCAAGCTATGATTCAAAGCACTTTTAAAATGTAATTGGAAGATCCAAATCCTATGTCTTGAGAATAAAACTGCCATCTTTGCTTTTACTTCTGGTATTTAATCCTGGCATGGATAAGGTCCCCCGGGAGTCAGCTTTAAAGAAGCAGGTATAGATTTAAAAAAAAAATCAAAATGATTTCGAAGCAGATGAAGCCCCCAAAGACACTTTTCCAAAGACAACTGGACTTCCTTGATTTTTATTTTGAAAACGTTTCGCTTCTCATCCAAGAAGCTTCTTTAGTTCTTAAGTAGAACTGAAGAAGCTTCTTGGATGAGAAGCGAAACGTCTTCAAGGAAAAACAAAGTCCAGTTGCCCCTTGAAAAAGCATCTTTGGGGAAACCGTGACTTGGAGGACTTGAGAATCTCCATAGACAAGCAGAGGAAGCCTCAAATAGACTGTTGGTCTCGCATTCTTCTGCCTTGATATTTTTCATCCGAATTCAGCGAGTGGAATCTGAAAGGGAAAATATCGGATTCTTAGGGCACAGTTTTTATTTCACATTTTTGGGGCCTTATTTGAAAATCCTCCACTGGGAAGATTGGTTTTAACTGCAGGTGGGGGGGGGTTTCATATATGTTCACATACCCTGAGTTGTGGTAAGAAAAAGAAGGGTAGTTGCAACTTGAAAACAGCAAGGAAGAAATGGGGCATTTCCCCTTCTTTTTGTAATGACATTGTGTCATTTCTTACATAAGAATGACATTACAAAGTATGATTTCATGAAACAAGCAGAAGAATCTTCTGGATTCTTGTGGCCCCATTTCAAGAGTCTCCTGAGACAGAGATGGACAACTATGGCAACTTTATGATCTGTGGACTTCAACTCCCAGAATTCCACACTGGCTGTGGACTTCAACTCCCAGAATTCCATGCTGGCTGTGGACTGCAACTCCCAGAATTCCATGCTAGCCATGGACTTCAACTCCCAGAATTCCATGCTAGCCATGGACTTCAACTCCCAGAATTCCACACTGGCTGTGGACTTCAACTCCCAGAATTCCACACTGGCTGTGGACTTCAATAACCAGAATTACATGGTGACTGTGGACTTCAACTCCCAGAATTCCATGCTGGCTCAGGAATTCTGGGAATTGAAGTCCACAGCCAGTGTGGAATTCTGGGAATTGAAGTCTACAGCCAGTGGACTTCAGCAAAGTTGCCATAGTTCCCAACCCTATCCTGAGGGATGAGGTTAGGACAGGGGTAGGCAACTTTGGCTCTTTTACGACTGGTGAACTTCAACTCCCAGAATTCCTGAGTCAGCCTGGCTCAGCTTGGAAACCTCTCCCTTTCCCCTCAGCATGGCTGGCTCAGGAATTCTGGGAGTTGAAGTCCACCAGTCATAAAAGAGCCAAGGTTGCCTACCCCTGGGTTAGGAAAACATCTCAGGGGTAGGGTGAACCTGAGAGATAAGGCGCTCATGTGGTGTTGGTAATTTGGCACTGATACCTCCCAGCATCGCACTTGGTTCCTGATGGGATGAAAAGAGGGGGGTCTTTTGTGCTCTCTGAGCCTGGTAGTTTTCTTGGGGACGTTTCCGTACCCAGCTGGGTAACATGATCAGTGCTAGAAGGGAGCTGGGTTTATAAACAGAGAGGAAAACCCACTCCCTTCTAACGCTGATGTTATTACCCAGTTGGGTAATGAATCATTTGCAAAAAAACCCCACCAAGCTCAGAGAGCACCAAGGACCCCCTCGGTTCAACCCAGAGCTACCAATATTCTCCTCTATTGGTGTTACAAAATTGTGATTATTTAACCCAGTGGTTCTCAACCTTTTCAATGCCGCGACCCCCAACCGTTCGTAAGTCGAGGACTACTCAACCGGTCGTAAGTCGAGGACTACTCAACTGGTGCAGCACCGTTTGCAGAATGGGACTTTTGGCGGGCTCAGCAGGGCAGAGACAGCCTGGACAATTCCTATTGGCTTTTGAAAGCCAATAGAATTAGACTCTATTCAAGAGAGTCTATTCTATTGGCTTTCAAAAGCCAATAGAATAAAAGGGAGTAGCACAGCTAAGGAAAAGGGGGAAAAAATGGCGGACTGCGTTGTTTGGCGACCCCCGTGAAATGGTCGTTCGACCCCAAATGGGGTCCCGACCCACAGGTTGAGAGCCACTGCTTTAACCTAAGGGAGAAGGGAAATGTTTACAAGTTACTCAATCACCATCCAAAACCGAGTCATCAAAAATGAAAAACTGTGCAGCCATTAAGGAGACGGTGATCAATGGTGGAGGCTGTTCATTTTTTCTCAGTGTTTCTCTTGGGATGTAGACTCAAACATGAGCAAAACTGGACTAAGCCAGAGAGTCCAGATGCTGTAACGGTCGCAGGTGTGAAAAATGATCATAAGTCATCTTTTTCACTCCTATTGTAACTTTTATTGTAAATTGAGGACTACTTGTATTATTATGCCAGAGTAAAGCCCTTCACCTGAGTAAATGGGTCCAGCCCTCTCAACATATAATTATTTGCACGGGATCTCAGAAAACCACAAGAAAAAGAAAGGTATTAAACCATACCTGAAACAGTTAGCCTTGCATCACCTACGTAAAGAACTCCAGGTGCTCCTTCTCTCAACTGGTACTTTACCGAATCAAAGCGTGTTACTTTGTGGATGGAAAGAGAACAGTTGGGGTGAATGTCTTCCCGCCCACTGTAACTTGCTCCTCGCGAAGTTCCCTCAGTTGGGAGCCGGTATCTTGTTCCGATTTCCCTCATTCTTTCTGGTGGAGAAGATTGCCGGTACCAGGAGCAGAAGACAATATGATTTGGGACTGTTGGTGGGTTAAACCAAACATCAGATCCCGCCGTGGGATTTTGAGGTTCAATCACAATACGGATTGTCTCTTCAGTTCTGGCCAGATGGAAGATGGTGGCTGCAGAAGAGGAGAAAAGAGAAAGGGGGGGGGGAAATGACTCTAAGCAAAATAAATTTTAAGCAAAAAGCCTATTGAATGAATTAGTTCTTGGCAGAAACAAACTTTTCTGGCAAATGTTGTTGCAGGCTGATTTGAGCGCGATAAGATTAAAAAGACACTCTCCTTTATACACAGTTGATGGGATCTTTGAGTATGTTAAAATATTGGAGTTCAAACGATCCAAATTCGTATTTTTTTTTTCAATGCTATGTGTTTATGAGGTTCCAGCAAGCCATTTCAGATTAATTTGAGGTGTGGTGGTCGACTATTTGTTACGTTATTAAGTCTCAGGATTCATAAGTTCATTAACTGAAATAAACGCATAAGTTCATTAACTTATGCAATGCATAAACATTACTGGCCCCAAAGTCCTGTTTTGCAAAATAAGACCAGCATTAATGTCAAAACGATAGAGGAGAGCTACAAAAAACAAACAAACAAACAAAAAAAAACAGGTAGAAATTTCAGGAATTCTAATTTGAATTATTATTAATAATTAGATTAAATATAGCAGCCCACTCTAATTTTATTTATTTATTTAGAACATTAAAACCACTGCTCGTTTTTCAACCAACTCTGGGCAGCTTCCCATAATATAAAAGCTATAAAACTCAACCAATTACAACATTAAAAAAAAAGCCTCATGCCAAATTGATTCTCTTGGCAGCTTATAAAAATTATATTAAAACAATGAAGAATATAAATTAACTGCATCCAGTTTTGGTCACCACGATGTAAAAAAGATGCTGAGACTCTAGAAAGAGTACAGAGAAGAGCAACAAAGATGATTAGGGGACTGGAGGCTAAAATATATAAGGAACGGCTGCTGGAATTGGGTATGTCTAGTTTAACTAAGAGAAGGATGAGGGGGAACAGGATAGCAGTGTTCCAATATCTCAGGGGCTGCCCCAAAGAAGAGGGAGTCAAGCTATTCTCCAGAGCACCTGAAGGCAGGACAAGAAGCAACGGATGGAAAGTAATCAAGGAGAGAAGCAACCTAGAACTAAGGAGAAACTTCCTGACAGTTAGAACAATTAACCAGTGGAACAACCTGCTTCCAGAAGCGGTGAATACTCCAACACAGGAAGTTGTTAAGAAGAGACTGGACAGCCATTTGTCTGAAATGGTATAGGGTTTCCTGCCTGAGCAGGGGGTTGGACTAGATGACCTCCAAGATCCCTTCCAACTTTATTATTGTTGTTGTTGTTGTTGTTGTTGTAATCAATGGACTAAGCAGCCATTAGAACTGATGATCCAACTGTCTACCTACGTTCACATCAAGTCCTTTCAGACATTGCAGAAAAAAAACAAACCCCAGGTAGATGCATCAAGAATTCTAACAAAGACCCAACCCACCACTCAAATCTTATCCAACTTTTTTTTTGAGGTTCTCATCCATACCTGTCCAAAGCACCATCCACCAGGAACTCTTCCCTCCATGGATGCTGCATACATCTTCCATTGAGCAAGGTGACGTTCTGTGCACTGAAAAATCAGATCCTCAGCTCCAGAATCAAAATCTGGTATTATCAGGGCCACTGACCAGCTTTTATCCTGAAGAACCTGGCAGAGGAGAGGCGTCCAACTTCTTATCTCTCAGCCTCTTCATGGTTACACAGAGCCAACTTGTTCTTTCCAAATGGGTGTAGGAAGATGCACAAGTTGTAATGTACAACAAGGAAGATGTAAATGTACTAGCGAACCCACAAAGTTTGTCATTACTAAAAGAACGGGGCACGGTAATCAAGTTCAAAGCATATATATTTCCTTGCTTATTTACCAAATTTAAATGCCCCCCCCCAACTCGTCTACAGGCAACTAAAAGGGCTACAGTACATGGCATCTGTGGTACATCTTGCAGAGGTAATGTGGGTTACTAGCAGACATAAAGGAAAGGTTGTATTTGAATAAAATTCCTATGAAATTACCGGTGTATCTGATACAAGATGCCAAGAAGCTTTCCTCAAATTCTTTTCCACAAAAAAGAATACAAAGAGAATGCAATAATTGTGCACTATTCCTCATTCCTCATATACCATGAAGGTTACGGATAACAGATAATGTAGTAACTGTGAGAGGGACCTCGGAGTCCTAGTGGACAATCACTTAAATATGAGCCCGCCGTGTGCTGCAGCTGCCAAAAAGGCCAACACAGTGCTAGGCTGCATTAACAGAGGGATAGAATCAAGATCACATGAAGTACTAATATAACTTTAAAATGCCTTGGTAAAGCCACACTTGGAATACTGCATCCAGTTTTGGTCACAATGTAAAAAAGATGTTGAGATTCTAGAAAGAGTACAGAGAAGAGCAACAAAAATGATCAGGGGACTGGAGGCTAAAGCATATAAGAAACGGCTGCTGGAATTGGGTACGTCTAGTTTAATGAAGAGAAGGACGAGGGGGTACATGATAGCAGGATTCCAGTATCTCAGGGGCTGCCCCAAAGAAGAGGGAGTCAAGCTATTCTCCAAAGCACCTGAAGGCAGGATAAGAAGCAACGGATGGAAACTAATCAAAGAGAGAAGCAACCTAGAACTAAAGAGAAACTTCCTGACAGTTAGAACAATTAACCAGTGGAACAACCTGTCTCCAGAAGCGGTGAATGCACCAACACTGGAAGTTTTTAAGAAGAAACTGGACAGCCATTTGTCCAAAATGGTATAGTGTTTCCTGCCTGAGCAGGGGGTTGGATTAGATGACCTCCAAGGTCCCTATTAACTTTATTATTACTATTACTATTATTACTATTACTATTATTACTATTATTATTATTATTATTATTATTATATAAAGTTGTCACGCCAACTTTAAAACAAGCAGGTCGATTAATCGAGAAATTATTTGATCCTGTTTTGCTATTCTCCAAAGAAACTAAAAGCGACTGACAGGTTCCCAAGTGCCAGTAAAGAGATTTTATTGTGGGCCCACCATCTTTAAACCATCTTATTGAGGCACTCTCAAAACAAAATCACGAGAAGCGAACTGAATGGAAAGAATACAGTGGAACTGATTCTGCATTTAGCGGTATGACATTCCCATTCTAAACGTGGAACTAAAGAACAGCAAATTGCTTTTGTATAGGGGTCTGTAGGGTGTGGTCGAAAAGTTCCAAGTTGGTGACCCCAATGGATTAACAATGCGCGTGACCGATAGTGGGAGCTTCACTCGCTTTTGGGGCAGTTGGTCGTAACTGGGAACGGCCGCTTAAGTGCAAAAGTTCCCTTGAAAGTCCTTAATGGCTTAATGGGAGTGGTTTAGTTATGGGACCATGTTTCCTTGGTTTCTACCTGTCTTATCCAATCCAGTTGGAGAATACACTGGGATTTTGTCACTTGGCTGGGACGTTCGTGCCATGGTGTCCGGCCTCTGGATATCACCCTACTAGAGATTAGAGGGGCCATAACTCTGCTGGTCTTCTTCAAGACTTTGAAAAGTTGGGTTTACGCCCCTGTTTGGGATCCTGGGTGTCTGTCAGAAGCTGTCGCCTGGCAGAGTCCAGGGTTGTTTTATGATTCTCGCTGCTGTGTGTCCTTTAAAAAAAAAAAATACTGCATGAATTTTATTTACTCTTTATTTATTTTTATTGTAGGCCACCCATATATGTGAGATAAATGGCAATATGTGCATATGTGTTTATATGTAGATCTATATGTATTTTTCTGGGCTCCAAGATCACCTCAGATGGGGACTGCAGCCAAGAAATCAAAAGACACTTGCTCCTGGGGAGGAAAGCTATGGCAAATCTAGACAGCATACTAAAAAGCAGAGACATCACCCTGCCAACAAAAGTGCGTATAGTCCAGACCATGGTTTTCCCAGTTGCAATGTATGGCTGTGAAAGTTGGACCATAAGAAAGGCTGAGCGCCAAAGAATTGAGGCCTTTGAATTATGGTGCTGGAGAAGACTCCTGCGAGTCCCCTGGACTGCAAGGCGTTCAAACCGGTCAGTCCTAGAAGAGATCAATCCCGACTGCTCTTTAGAAGGCCAGATCCTGAAGTTGAAACTCAAATACTTTGGCCACCTAATGAGAAGGAAGGACGCCCTGGAGAAGGGCCTAATGCTGGGAAAGATGGAGGACAATAGAAGAAGGGGACGACAGAGAATGAGATGGCTGGATGGAGTCACTGAAGCAGGAGGTGTGAACTTAAATGGACTCCAGAAGATGGTAGAGGATAGGAAGACCTGGAGGAATGTTGTCCATGGGGTCGCGATGGGTCGGACACGACTTTGCAACTAACAATATGTATTTATACACAGACACACACACAAATGTTAATTAAATAATAAAGGGGATAATATAAATGCGTTGGAAAGAGGCACAGCATTCCTCTATCTGGTTGGATAGTGAACTTTTAAAAAAAAACAACTTTGAAGAACAAGTGAATTGTTCTGTACACCCCCCCCCCCTACGTGATTATCTATATCTACAAAGATCGTTAAGATTCTTAGGGACAGATAGAAATTCCTCTTAAAGAATAAAGACTTTTTTGGGGGGTAGATATGTAAGTAAATCTAAAATTAGCACAGTCAGTCCCACGGGAATCACTAATCCTTATTTGTCTTTGTTGTATATTAAGCCAAGAAGGTGTATCAAAACGTAGCTTCCTTCTATTTGCAGAACTGGTCAACTGGCATCCCTGGAGAAGCTGCTGGGGAACAGATTTCTGACAGTTTGTAAGACAAACAAACAACAGTAATTGGATGTAAAAGCTCTCATCCTTAAAGAGAACGAGACTGAGTTAAATTTATGGCAAGAAAATACTTTCCTTTAACTAAGGGTAAGTCTGTTTCATCACAAAATCCACTTTCTTTCTTTCTTTTTCTTGGGAAAGTGTCTCTCCCTTCTCTGATTTAGTAGCCCCAACATGATTTCTGAAATCTGATGCTTCTTTTAATCAATTTACAGACATACATACAGAATAGAGCTGGAAGGGACCTTGGAGGTCTTCTAGTCCAACCCCCTGCTCAGGCAGGAAACCCTGTACCATTTCAGACAATGGCTGTCTAGTCTCTTCTTGAAAATCTCCAGTGATGGAGTGCCCACAATTTCTGGTGGCAAGCTGTTCCACTGGTTAATTGTGTCACCGTTAGGAAATTTCTCCTTAGTGCTAGGTTGCTTCTCTCCTTGATTACTTTCTATCTATTGCTTCTTGTCTTGCCTTCTGGTGCTTTGGAAAATAAGCTGACCCCTTGTTCTTTGTGGCAGACCCTTAGATATTGGAACACTGCTATCATGTCACACCTAGTCCTTCTTTTCTCTAGATTAGCCATACTCAATTCCTGCAAGCATTCTTCATATATTTTCATCTCCAGGCTCTTAATCATCTTATTTGATCTTCTCTGTACTGTTTCCAAAGTCTCAACATCTTTTTTTTTTTTATATGTGGTGACCAGAACTGGATGCAATATTCTAAGTGTGGCCTTACTAAGGCTTTATAAAGTGGAACTAATACTTCACGTGATCTTGACTCTAGGCCTCTGTTTATGCAACCAAGGATTGCATTAGCTGTTTTGGCTAATTTTCTCTATGATGCCTGCAAGTAGTGGAACTCCTGTCATATCTTTTCTTATATTTCCTAGATCTTCATAAACTGTAATAGAAAAGAAATCAAATCTAATAAATTCGAACCACAAACTGAGTTATGCAACAAAAGACTCTGGATTCCTCTGACAAAACCCCAGACAAATGTTATTTACAAAGAACATTCAGATTGTTAGAAACAGATAAATATCCCTAGTAAAGAGAGTTGTGTTTTTACTGTTTTTATTGTGGATATTGTTGCAATTAATAGAGCACCTCTCTTCCCAATATGTGAATTGTAAGAAGAGAAAGTATATCTAAACATAACTCACTTTTACCTGTAGAAACTGGGCAACTAGTATCATTGAAGAACATACCTGGGATTCTGAGCAGCTATTGTCTGTAATACAAATAGGTATACAGAAATTGTAACAGGAAGTTCTTAAAAAGAATGTTTTGCTGTAGTTAAATTAAGGGTAAATACTTCCCCAAGGCTGGGTTTAGTTAATCCAGAATACACTTTATTTCTTTGAATAGGAGAAATGTCTCTTTGTCCCACCAGTATTGTTCAGCAGCTCCAAAACATGACTTTGAAATCTGATGCTTCTTTTCCAAGTTCTATTGAACTGAAAGAGAATTTTTTATTTACTCTTCTGAAAAAAAATGTTTCTCTTCAGTTTGATCATGGCAACGGGTAGCATCACATGATCCAGGGATGTAGCAATGGTTGTAAATGCAACTAGTCCTCAACTTATAACCACGATTGAGCCCAAAATTCCTGTTATCGTTGAACCGGACTCAAAATAATTTTGCATGATGCCCCCTTTGTTGTCATTAAGACATTGGATGTGGAAAATAAATTGGCCGTTAAGGGGGCCTTGATGTTGTTATGTTCCGAATAAAGTGGTTCAGCTGGGGATAAGCACACAATGTTATTAAGTTTGGGTTCTTCCTGGGGTTATTTTTCTTGTTTGCTTGAAGCCGTTTTCCTTCTCATCCAAGAAGCTTCTTCAGTTCTGACTGAATGGTGGAGAATAGAAAGGTTTATATTCCTTGCAGCCATGTGGTAGTTAGCCCTCTTTCTGAGAGTCGTTGAGGCCACTTGGAGTTTATTCAAGGTCGCCTGAATCCTATAGTTTGGAAATCCGTTCCTACTCCCGCATCATTCGAAGGGTGTTCAAAACTGCAACTGACCTCAATGACTCTCAGGAAGAGGATTAACAACCAGATGACTCCAAGGAATAGAAATCCTTCCGTTCTCCACCACTCAGTCAGAACTGAAGAAGCTTGTTGGATGAGAAGTGAAACATCTTCAAGAAGAAACAAAAGTCCCATTGCCTTTTGAAAGAAAGCACTTTTGGGACAACCATGGCCTGGACAACTGAGAGTCTCCATAGACATGTGGCCACAGAAAGCATTGACACCAACCCACAATATAATCAGCGTCACTGCCATCCGTTCCTGAGATGAGTAACCTTGTAGAACCTATCAACGAAACTCCAGATCCTATTTTGGACAGCATATAGGTGGCTGAATCATTTAATTTTGAGTTCTGAATGTGAAGGGAGCAATTATTGTAGACGGTTTCCCCTCCAGTGTATCCTGGGGCTCAGTAGGACCCAGAATTGAATCTCAGGACATATGTCGCAATTAGTTTCAACTTGGTTAGTACATTCCCACAGAACCAGCTGCAAGTGGTGACGTTGTTTGGGGGTTCTGGGGCCATCAGCATGATCTCCTGTCCTTCCACTGTTTGGGAAGATTCCTCCGTAATGGGAATTGTATGCTGAGCTTCAGCCAGGCTGATGAGAGCAACTAGAATGGAGGCTACAATGAGAAGAGGGAGAAGAGGATAAGGAAGGAGGGCAAAATAATGTTTTCAAGCAAAGTTGTCAGGGAATTATGCAGCAGGCGTCCAAATGAAGTGAGAGACACTGACATAAATGTGTGTTTTATGTACTGATAAATACATTTTATAGCTATAGATACAGCAAATGAGATAGTTGGGCACCTTACTACATTGTGAGGTAAATCACCGAGAACACAGGAGAAAAAAGGAGGGAAAAAAGGAAACTCCCTCCATACCCACAGCAACCAATCACAGCACAGATTGCCTCAGGCAGGAACCTGCCCTCTCCAACCGATCAACTATAATTGTGTGTTTTGGCTCACTCCACAGCCCCACTGCTCCAGCTCCTAAAATTTAGATATCTTAACAAAAGTAAATTTCATTGCGAGCAAAAGGCCTTTTGGGGGAACAATTGATGGGCTGCTATACAAATGGAATAAATGAATGAAAATCAGTCCATTAAAAAAATAAAATGGCCCTTGCTTTCTTATTCACCACGTTCTGAATGATAAACGAAACCATCCTTACTATTATGCGTAATAAATTCAGAATAAGGTTCAAAACTCCATCAGTTTGACAACATAAAGAGCAAGGACATCCTGTTAAAAGTCTGCAGTAAAGACTTTCGTTAAAAGCACCTCTGTTAAGTCCATCACTCTGTTGGACTGAAACTGGTGCCGTTCCTCACCATTTCCAGTTACAACTGTATAAGGCAAACATTCTGGGATCTAACTGGGAAACAGGACCATCTAGATTTTCACAGATTTTTTTTCCTTTTTCCACCAAGGACCCTACAGTTCAATTCTGAGCGACAAATATTTCTTCTATTAGATAGATAAATAAAAGATCATTGTCGCCACCACCACCACCATCATCATCCTATTGTCAATGCTGCTAACATCGGATGTTCTTGCTTTGACAATATATGAAAATGCAGCCAAATTCCCCTTAACTTGTGCGTTACTTTTAGAGTTAAATTTAGATGATACTGGGGGGGGGGGAGAGGAAGAATGTGAATGGGAATTAGTTAGACATAACAACATCGTATTAGAGTGTTTTTCAAGGTTGTTTGAAATAAGAGATGATAAGAAATGGCGGAATGGAGAACTGGAGGGAAGGTCTGCATTTCAAACTAATTGGAGAATGTGATTTATGACTGTTAATTAGAGGAAGGAATTGTGCTTTGATACTCTGTGTTTAGGGGAGGAGAATTCAGATTTCGGCTTCGACCATTCTACGTGCGGATGCCATGCAACTTGAATAAAGATTCTTTAAGGTAAACAATGCCTTAAAGTTCTTTGAAGAGTTTCATCTGTTGGAACTATGACACCTATTTTGAAAAATAAGAAACATGAATATGGAAGCAATAGAAATATGCTACCAAAAAATCCCCAGGAAGATGGATCAGGAATTCTTATGAAGATTCAACCCTCCATCCAAGTTCATATCCAGCCCTTGCAAACTCTGCTTATTCAAGGTTCTCATCCATACCTGCCCAAACTACCATCCACCTGGAATTCCTCCATCCAAGGTAACTGTGTACATCCTCCATGAACAAGGTGACTTTCTCCACACTGGAAAACTGGAAAATCTTCTGGATCCTCAGCTCCAGAATCAAAATCTGGTACATCAGGACCAAGGTTTTATCCTGCAGAACCTGACAAGTGAGATGTGTCCTTCTCTTACTTCTCAGGTTGCTTACAGTTAATCAAAGTCAACAAGTTCCTTCCAAACAAGCGTGGGAAGACTCACAAGTTGGAAGGTATAAGGAACTAATTACAAAGAATTATTGTTTATGGCATCTGTGTTGCAGTCTTCCACAGGCAATTTAGCCTTGGGCTATAGGGAGAAATAAACGAATAGTTGAATATACGGTAATTCCTGCCAGAAACCAGTCATTTTTCCTATTGATGCAAAATGGCATAAAGTGGTCTCCAAACTCTTCTCCACAGAAAAGTATACAAAGAGAATGCAATAATTGTGAACCATTATTCATTCCTCATATACCGTTACCGATAACAGATAATGTATATGTTTGCAATAGTGGCGAATATCGGTAGCTCGGGTGAAGGGCGAGGGTGAAGGTTCGTTCTCTGAACTTGTGGGTTAATTTCCAAATGTTTTGTTACCAGGCTAGGTAACATCTTCAGTGGCGTTGATGAAAGGTCATCAGATGGGGCAAAACTCACTTAACAACTACTTGGCTTAGCAACAGAAATTTGGGGGTCCATTGTGGTTGTCCTTTGAGGACTACCTGTACAGTAATTGGAAGAAAAAGTTCTTGTCCTTAAAGAGAATGATATTCAGTTAAATTTATGGCAAGCAAGAGATACTTCCATTAACCCCAACGAAAGAGTAAGTCTACTCCATCAATGAATCCAATTTTTTCATTGAGTAGAAGTGTCCCTTTCTGCCACCATTATTTAGCAGCCCCCAAAGATGAAATCTGATGCTTCTCTTCCAAATTCTGTTGAACAGAAAGAGAATTTTGGCCTTTTGAAGCCAGCTGGTTTGTAGATGTTTGCGACCCCCAACTCTCATGATTGATAGCCAGCTCAATCAATGATTAGGGATCTTGGTTAAGGCTCTGGAAAGTTGGTCAGGTTCCAGCTGGGGCCACTTGACTGGGAACAAACCACAGCCATCTGCGGGCAGCATTTCCACTGCAAAATGGTATTTTCGGGAATAAGACCTTTTCAGAAAAATAGTTGGGGTTCAACCCACCCGGGACCCCACCCTTTTTACCTCCAGAAGGCCTTGCCCTAAATGAGAGCTGATTTCACTACGCCTCTAGATTTTTGTGGTGTCTTTAAAAGAAGGCCTAAGGCACTCAAGCAATTCTCTCCATCCATCCTCATGTCTTCATGAAAGGCATAATTTGTGATCTGCTTGAGATAGGCTGAAATATGATTTGACCCTAAAGGCATCAACTAGCCCATCTGTGAGGAGGAGAGTGGTGGTCAAAGAGTTCCCGGTAACAGACCAATGACCGGAATGGTGACACTGGCTAAGAATGGGATGCCACTCATGTTCACTCTATTCAAGACGATCAACACACAATTTCTGCTGAAGAAATTTATTTTTCCCCCTGCTTTATCCCGAATCCTTCACAAGATAATTTCGCACAATGCCTCAATTGTTGCCATTATGACACCAGAAGTGGAAAACGAATTGGATGATTCAGGAGGACTTAATGTTCCTTCTACAGAGCAATTTGAAAAAAAAAAACCAACCATATCCTCCCCTAATTGATAGGTATTTATCTCCAGTGGCTGCTTAAGGACGAGCTGGCAGTGATCACGGCACAGGTGGCTAGATTCTGCGCAGCAGCATTGGAGATTCGCCAGAAACATAAAGAAATATTTTAGATCTTTTATCATTAATTTTAGTACATGTTTTTATCCAGCATTAGACTGTACTCAGTGTGTGTTTATCGTCAGGTCAGTATGATTCAGTTTTTCTGAAGGTAGCTAGGTTTTGTTACACTGTCTGTGAAACTAGGCAGACCTTGGTCACCCATTGATTGCATCATTAATTTGCAATACATTGCTATGTCTTCTTGTGTTCAGTTCTGTTTAGTTTTGTTTTACTTGAATGTTTAATTTATGTGTTGGCCTATGGCTGTGATAATAAAGACATACTGTTGCTGTGTTCCGAATAAACTGGTTCAGTCACTCTCTGGAACACCTGAGGACAAACACAAAAAGAAAGATGCTTCCTGGATGAGCAGTGAGATATCTTCAAGGAAAAACAAAGGTGCTTTTTTGAAAAAGCACCTTTGGGACAACCACAACCTGGAGGATGGAGTACCTCCATAGACATGTCCCAGTGTCTAGTTGTTTTGGCATGCAATGCCCTACAACTCCGTCTCCTGGGAAGGAGTTGAAAAAAATTGACGTCCAGAATGTAAGAGGTCTGCAGAAAGTTTTCATGCAGTGCAGAAAACCACTCTGGCACCTCCAAATTTTTCTTTTCGGCAGCCTTTCCAAAAGTGCTGTTGCCACACAAGGTGACTTCTGCGTCTCCTGAGATACAATTGCGTTTCTGGAGACTACTATCCACCAGGTTTGAGGAAGGATTATGGGGCCCTCTGCTGATGGCTCAGAATATTATTCACTGACCAACACCTTACTTTGTTCTACGGGTAAATTCAGCTTTCCCAAATGGTTTGCTTGTTGGGACACTGACGCTTTCACTGACTATGTAAAATGCATTTTTAAAATTTTCACAAGAGACAAGATATGCTAGGCTAGCGGTGAATGCTCCAACACAGGAAGTTTTTAAGAAAAGACTAGACAGCCATTTGTCTGAAATGGTATAGGGTTTCCTGCCTGAGCAGGGGGTTGGACTTGATGACCTCCAAGGTCCCATTATTATTATTATTATTATTATTATTATTATTACTATTATTATTATTCATGATAATACGTGCCTGATTTATGTTTACATTTCCAACATCTATCTGACATATTTTTAAACATTTTTGCTAATCTTGCTGGTGGCAAGTGCCATCTATAAAACATTTTAAGGTTCTAAATGGGTTGTAAAATCAGGTGTGACTCACTTTAACAACTGCCTTGCAATGGAAATTTTGCTTCCAGTTGTGATAAGTCTGTACTGTATTCCGTTTCTATTTTATTTGTCTATCCTTTTTTTCTTAGCCGTCTTTAAAAAGTCTAAGGAAAATGTAATATTACACTCGAAATCTATAAGATGTTTTTGATTCTGTGTGAAGATTGCTCATAGGCTAATTCCTTAGCTAATTTGAAGTCTTTGTGTGTGATTGCCCCCCCAACACCATGAGATCCATGGGAACAGCACAACGACGACGACAATGGAAATAAATACAGACACAATGGCAACAGCTCAATGGGAAAGATTTATTGAATCCAAATTTCCGTACTTCTCAGTGCATTTTGATTAACTGCACGCATTTTCTTTCCAGAGGAGAAAAAGAGAAGTGATATGCAGCCACAGGAAGTCCTACAACCACAGTGGAGCCCCAATATTATTGCTGAAATCTGATGCTTCATGTCTATAAAGCATTCATGTAGTGGAACCTCTGTCGTATGTTTTCTTATATTTCTTATATCTTCATAAAGTGTAATGGAAAAGAAATAGGATCTAATAGATTTAGAACTAGAGAGGTTTAGCTCCAGCTAATTTGAAGGTCTGTGTTTGTGACTGCCCCCCCCTCCCAGCATCAAGAAATCCAGGGGAACAGCATACCAACAACGACAATGGAAACAAGTACAACACAATGCCAACATCTCAATGGGAAAGATTTATTGAATACAAATTTCCGTACTTCTCAGTGCATTTTGATTAAAATGCATGCATTTTCTTTCCAGAGGGGAAAATGAGAAATCATATGCAATTATTGAAATTAATACATTTTTATAAGAACTTAAACAAAGCAAGGACATTTTTCTGTAATGTATGAGGAACCAATGATTCAAAGCACTTTTAAAATGTAATTTTAAATGTCCGAATCCGATGCCTTGAGAATAAAATTGCCATCTTAATACGTAGTGATCAAGATTTGGTTTTACTTCAGGTATTTAATCCTGGCATGGATAAGATCCCCAGGGAGCCGGCTTTAAAGAAGCAGGCATAGATTTCAAAAAATCAAAATGATTTCAAAGCAGATGAAGCCTCAAATAGGCTGCTGTTCTTGCATTCTTCTGCCTTGATATTTTCCATCAAAAAACAGAGAATGGAAGCTGAAAGGGAAAATTATCTATTAGGTACATTTTTTATTCCACAGTTTGATTTTAAAACTCTCTGCTGAAAGTAACTACAGGTGGGGGTTTACGTATCCTGAGGTGTAGTAAGATTAGCATTAGGGGAAAGAGGAGTAGTTACAACTGAGCAAGAAATAATGTAGCATTTTGCTGTCTTTTGTAATAATGTTTCTTACATTAGAAAGACATTACAAAATATGATTCTATGATTTTTATGAAACTAGTTGCATTTTGCTTCTGGATTCAATTCAAGATGCTAATTTGACCTTCAAAACCCTTTTTGGCAATGAAAGCTTTTTAATTTGGCTGCTTTTGACACTTTTACTGATTTGTTTGTTCGTTCGTTTATTTGCTGTACGCAAATAATTGATAGGACAGATGGATAAATAGGTACTGTAGATAGATGATGATAGACAGAGACAGATAGATAGATGATAGATAGATATAGATAAATAGATGATAGATATAGAGAGATAGATAATTAGAGATGATAGATAGAGAGATAGAGATAGATGATGGATGGATGGATGGATGGATAGATAGATAGATAGAGATTGTTAGATGATGGAGAGATAGATGGAGAGATAGATATAGATAGGTAGATGATAGATGGATGGATGGATGGATGATAGATATATAGACAGGAAAATAAAAACTTGGGGAAACTAGAGCAAATGAATCATTCCTGAATATTTTCAGTAGAATTAATACTTACACCACTCTCATTGTCTTTCTGTTCTTCATTTCTGTTTTAGGTTTTTAAACTTTTCTAAAAAAGAGAAAAAGAGAGAGAGACCCCAAGGATATTATCATCTCCCTTCCTTGCAAACTATCAAACTATCAGCAAGGGACCCTGTGCTTCCACCGGTGGGGGGGGGGGGAAGGAGGGAACACCTTCAGTCCCAAGGCAGAGACCCCTCGATCTCTTTGGCTAGCTGCTGGCTGGGGCATTCTGGGAGTTGAAGTCCACAAGTCTTAAAAGTTGCCAAGTTTGGAGGCTGCTGTATTTGGTGAATGAACAGAAGTTATCTGTTTTGACTACTCACTTTTCATGTCAATCTCCAAGGTTGTATTTCTGCTCATAATAGAGACCATATTAATCACACTACAAGTATAATTTCCAGAATTCTCTGGGCTGATTTCCCGAACGAGGATCACGTCAACCAATTCCACTCCATTGAAAAACCAAGTACAATTGGCCGGAGGAAACATAACAGCTTTGCAAGTCAGTTTGATCTGTGCTTTTGGGACATCAATAGTCTCGTTGATAATTGGAGGGTCGGGTCCATCTGGAAGAAACATGTATAAAAAAGATGTTGAGACTCTAGAAAGAGTGCAGAGAAGAGCAACAAAGATGATTAGAGGACTGGAGGCTAAAATATATAAGGAAAGGTTGATGGAATTGGGTATGTCTAGTTTAATGAAGAGAAGGACGAGGGGGGACAGGATAGCAGTGCTCCAATATCTCAGGGGCTGCCCCAAAGAAGAGGGAGTCAAGCTATTCTCCAAAGTGCCTGAAGGCAGGACAAGAAGCAAGGAGAGAAGCAACCTGGAACTAAGGAGAAACTTTCTGACAGTGAGAACAATTAACCAGTGGAACAACCTGCCTCCAGAAGTGGTGAATGCTCCAACACTGGAAGTTTTTAAGAAGAAACTGGACAGCCATTTGTCTGAAATGGTATAGGGTTTCCTGCCTGAGCAGGGGTTTGGACTAGATGACCTCCAAGGTCCCTTCCAACTTTATTATTATTATTATTATTATGGATCATCGCACAGTCAGCCAGATGTTCAGACTGGATTTGGCATTTTGTCTACCTATCGAGTCCTTACCCAGGACCTGGGATAGGCAGATGTGGATGTTTGATGGTATTACAGATATCGTCGCAGGATGGAAGCAGTTCCTAGTAAGGCCGCCTTTTGCAATTGACTAATAGCGAATTTGTCAATGCCAGTGGTGTTCAAGTGGTGCTCCAGTTGTTTTGGGATTGCACCCAAGGAGCCTATTACTATTGGTACTACCCTTGCTTGCTTTTGCCACAGTCTTTCTATTTCTATTTGTAGGTGTTTGTATTTTGTGATCTTCTCCAGTTCTTTCTCGTCTATTCTGCTGTCTCCAGGCACTAATAATAATAATAATAATAATAATAATAATAATAATAATAATAATGGAACTGCTATTATTATTATTATTGATTATTTTTAGGCAGGAGAACATTTTTTTGCAAAAGAACATCCTTGCAGCCTTCTGTAGTACCGTACCAAGAGCTTTTCCATTTCATTTTATTTAATGTATCAGTTGAAAGGACTACCTTGGTCAGCAGCTGGAACAGTGTTTCTCAGACTTGGCAAGTTTAAGACTTCAGCTCCCAGAATTCCCTAGCCATCCATTTTGACAAGTTTAAGATGTGTGGACTTCAGCTCCCAGAATTTCTCAGCCAGCCATCCTGGCAAGTTTAAGATGTGTGGCCTTCAACTCCCAGAATTTCCCAGCCAGCCATCTTGGCAAGTTTAAGACATGTGGGGAATTCTGGGAGCTGAAGTCCACACATTTTAGACTTGCCAAGCTTGATAAACACTGAACTAGACTGACCAAGTCCACACTGAAGAAAAAACAAACAGAATTAACCAGTTTCTGGGTCCTGCACTAAAAACTGACTTGTACACTAATGAAATGGCTTGAGTTTATACAAAATGGTGAACCCACTGAGTAAGAAGGTTAAGGACACATGAAGGGTCTCCTAACTCTTAATAGAAATGCAAAATATATAGTTAAAGAAAAAAGAGAGAATATTGAATGTATTGACCATTGGCTGCACGCCATGACTAGAGATAGGAAGATCAGACTTACAGATAATGCCTAAGGAATAGGGTGTGCTTTCGTTGGAAGAGATGCTGTTGTAACCATGGCAAATATAATCCCCAGCATCACTTCGGTATCCTGGGTTCAACTCGAGCGTCTGGTTGTTGTTTGTCAAAGAGATGTGGCCACCTGCGTGCACCACCTGGCCTCCGTTGGTCCAATAATATGAAACGTTGTCGCCTCTTGATGTGCAGTTCAAGGAGACTGGCCTGCCCTCAATGGGCTCCGGAGTACCAGCGATGGTGACGTTGCTTACACGACCTGCAGGAAGGGGAAAAAAGCAGATGAGGATGTTGACAGTCTCACCAGGAGAGGAAGGCCTGGCGTGACACATTAAAAGCAAATTGCAGGAGTGGCCTGGAATCCTGCATCCAGTTTGGGTCACCACATTACAAAAAAGATGTTGAGGGTTTGGAAAAAGGGCAGAGAAGAACAACTAGGATGATTAAAGGCCTGGAGACTAAAACATCTGAAGAACAGTTGCAGGATTTGGGAATGGCTAGTCTAGCGAAACGAAGGACTAGGGGTGACATGATAACAGCATTCCAGTATTTGAGGGGCTGCTTCAAAGAAGAGGGGGGGTCAACTTATTTTCTGAAATATCAGAGGGCAGGACAAGAAGCAATGGGTGGAAATTAATCAAGGAGAGAAGCAACCTGGAATTAAGGAGTGAGGACAATTAACTAATGGAACAGCTTGCCTTTAGGGGACTGGAGGCTAAAACATATAAAGAACAGTTGCTGGAATTGGGTATTTCTAGTTTAATGAAGACAAGGACTAGGGGTGGCACGATAGCAATCTTCCAATATCTAAGGAGCTGCCACAAGGAAAAGGGGGTCAACCTGTTCTCTAAAGCATGTGAAAGCTATTTTTCAAAGCACCTGAAGGCAGGACAAGAAGCAACGGGAGGAAACTAATCAAGGAGAGAAGCAACCTAGAACTAAGGAGAAACTTCCTGACAGTGAGAACAATTAATCAGTGGAACAGCCTGCCTCCAGAAGCAGTAAATGCTTCAACACTGGAAGTTTTTAAGAAGAGACTGGACAGCCATTTGTCCGAAATGGTGTAGGGTTTCCTGCCTGAGCAGGGGGTTGGACTAGATGACCTCCAAGGTCCCTTCCAACTTTACTACTATTACTAAGAAGCAACGGATGGAAACTAATCAAGGAGAGAAGCAACCTAGAACTAAGGAGGAATTTCCTGACAGTGAGGACAATTAACCAGTGGAACAACCTGCCTCCAGAAGTTCTGAATGCTCCAACACTGGAAGTTTTTTAAACAGAAGAATAGACAGACATTTGTCTGAAATGGTGTAGGGTTTCCTGCTTGAGCAGGGGGTTGGACTAGAAGACCTCCAAGGTCCCTTCCAGCTCTCTTCTGATGGATTGATTAATAGTTAATTGGAATATCAGTGACACTGCAAAAGGGGACTTACGACCAGTCACCACATTTACTTGGCTGCTTGGCAACTGGCGTGTATTTACTACCTTTTGCACACTCCCAGCAAAGTCAACAGAGGGAGGTGAGGTCACTTAACAATTGCAGGATCCATTCATAAAATCATGTCCAGGTCCTTAACAACCACCTTGCTTAGCAACAGAAAGTCTTTTCCCAATTGTGGTTGTACAGTACATAGAGGACCACCTATATTGGCCATAGGTGACCACTTTTAAGCATGCCCTTGATTACTCACTTTCTTCCAAGTAAATCTCCAGGTTGCTGCTGTTTCTTTTCTCGTGAAGGAGATCATTTTCAGCCTGGCAGATGTAGCTCCCTGTTTTGTCCGCTGTGAAATTTCCAAGGAGTAATTTTGGGCCTGTATCTAGTTGCTTTCCATTATGGAACCAAACGTATAGTGGCTGGGAAGATGAATCGGCACTGCAAGTGAGGACAACGTTGGTGTGTTCGTTATAATATCGTTGGGTTGGCTGGATTTCAGGTGTATCTGGACCATCTTCAAAATATATATATATATAATGTAAGTCAATTTGGATATGAATTGCATAGCTTCCCTCTGCTATTTCAGTCTGAAAGAGTCTTTTACGGATTACATCAGTGGCATTCAACCTTGGTAAAAATTAGAAGATGCGTGGACTTCAACTCCCAGAATTCCCCAGCCAGTTTTGTGGACTAGAGAATTCTGGGAGTTGAAGTCCACACCCCCAGTTGCCACCACTGAGAAATTACTGGCTTAGATAGAACGCCAGGATGATTATTTGAAGTAATTAAAAAAAGAATCAGAAACTCAGTGGGAGTGAGATGGTGTGTCCCATAAAATCTAGGCCAGTGGTTCTCAACCTTTCTAATGCCGCGACCCCATAATACAATTCCCCATGTTGTGGTGACCCCCAACCACTTATACATCACCGGGTGCCAGGGGCGTGGCCAAAGAAAAGGGAAAAAATGGCGGACAGCCTTGTTTGGCGACCCCCGTGAGATGGTTGTTCGACCCCAAATGGGGTCCCGACCCACAGGTTGAGAACCACTGATCTAGGCGCACTACACTGAGCTCTGGATGACCCTTCACATTCTTAGTTCTCGCCACCAGGTCAGCCAGTCATTTGCACCCACTATGATTTTGGGGTTATCTTTATATCCATGCACGCACGTTTGGGCGAGTAGGATGGCCTGTAGTGCCCATGGAGACAAATGAAGTTACAGAAAATATGAGGATTGTTGCTTTCAAAAATACAGAACAGCAGCGAGCAATGGGACCAAAATCATCCTGGGGGCTTTCATACCTAAGACAGCACTAGAACTCACAGTCTCCTGGTGATTGGCCCAAAGTCCCTCAGCCAGCTCTTCTGCCCAAGGTGGGACTAGAACTCACAATTTCCCAGTTTATTTATTTATTTATGAGACTTATATACCGCTTTAAGTGCGAGCACTCTCTAAGCGGTGTACACCAGTAAGCAATGTATATATATATTAACATTGCCCCCAACAATCTGGGTCCTCATTTTACCTACCCCGGAAGGATGGAAGGCTGAGTCAACCTTGAGCCGGTGAGATTTGAACCGCTGACCTGCTGAACACAGTCAGCTAAAGTGGCCTGCAGTACTGCACTCTAACTGCTGCGCCACCTCGGCTCAATGTATTTAGCCTGATGCCCTAACGAGACACCAAAGTGGCTCACGAATTTAGTTTTAACTCAAATGCAGAGAACGGACTCCTTTGGGAATTGTAGCTAAGTCTTCATTGGGCCAGCCCTGTTCGGGCTAGGGAATAGCTACTAGACAGCACTGCCTCTCTTTATGGGATAGGGATGGGTTCCATTTGATCATGGAGTTCTGACGGATCGCCCTGCCCTGTTCCCCACCTGCTCCAGCTGCTTTTCTGAGCCGCTGGGTGTTGCCTGCTCTTCTCTGCTTTTACCAACATCGTAAATTCCCAGAGCCCTTTTGGAGACAAGGCAGGGCCCAATTACTCAGATGCAATGAGGAAACAAATCCTCGTTAAAGGACATGAAACCCTGGATGAGAATCCTCGCCCACCTCTTTAAAGACAATTTAAATTCTCTCTTTTCGCCCCTGCACGGAATTGCGTGACTCGTATTAAATATATATATATACTTTCACTTTCTGATATAACGCCCAACTTTCCTGCCTGCAGCAAGCTGCCCTATCTGACCTCTAAGTAGAGTGGCCCCCATTTCAAGGACTTCCCGAGTCGGGGTGGGCAACTGTGGCCACTGTACAATCTGTGGACTTCAATCCCAGAATTCCATGCTGACTGTGGACTTCAACCCCCAGAATTCCATGCTGGTTCAGGAATTCTGGGAGTTGAAGTCCACAGATCGTAAAGTGGCCATAGTTCCCACCCTGTCCTGAGGGATGAGGTTAGGACAGGGATGGGCAACCTTGGCTCTTTTATGACTCGTGGACTTCAACTCCCAGAATTCCTGAGCCAGCATGGCTCAGCATGGAAACCTCTCCCTTTCCCCTCAGCATAGCTGATTCAGGAATTCTGAGAGTTGAAGTCCACGAGTCATAAAAGAGCCAAGGTCGCCTACCCCTGGGTGAGGAGAACATCTCAGAGGTGGTGAATTTGAGAGCTCAGACCAAGCCAAACATCGCAAAAGCCAAATACTTACAGAGAACATGGAGGTTGAGAACGTCGCTGATTCTGGTGCTGGTGTTGTTGGTAACTTGACACTGATACTCCCCAGCATCGCTCCTGGATACATTTGGGATATAGAGAGTCTGATTATCGTCCGAGAGATGAGACTCGTTGGTGTAAAGTTTTCCATCTTTAAACCACTTAATCGTTAGGTCTTTCGGTACATTGCAGGTGAAGCAAACTGAACTCCATTCCAAAATGGAGTTGCTTGGGTTTGCAGTCACATTCGGCTTGGGCAGAAAATCTGCAGAAAGGAGAGCAAGTGTTGTTACAAGCAATCTTTTTATTTATAGTATACATTTATTTACTTGCATCCCACCTTTATTATTTTTACAAACGACACAAAGGGGCAAAGATATCCAACGCACCTTCCTTCCTGTATTCCCCACAACATCAAAGTTGTGAGGTGGGTTGGGCTGAAAGAGAATGATTGGCTCAAAGTCATCCAGCCAGTTTTTATGCCTTAGTCAGAACAAAAACTCACCGTCTCCTGGTGATTGGCCCAAAATTACCTGGACAGCTTTCATGTCTAAGTCAGGACTGGAACTCACTGTCTCCTGGAAACTCCAGAAGCTATTACAAAATTGTGGGGTCCTTGGTGTTCTCTGAGCTTGGTGATTTTCTTGGAGATGTTTCATGACCCAACTTGTTGTTAGTTGCGAAGTCATGTCCAACCCATCGCGACCCCATGGACAACGTTCCTCCAGGCCTTCCTGTCCTCTACCATCTTCTGGAGTCCATTTAAGCTCATGCCTCCTGCTTCAGTGACTCCATCCAGCCACCTCCTTCTCTGCCGTCCCCTTCTTCTCTTGCCCTCCATCTTTCCCAGCATTAGGCCCTTCTCCAGTGAGTCCTTCCTTCTCATTAGGTGGCCAAAGTACTTGAGTTTCAACTTCAGGATCTGGCCTTCTAAAGAGCAGTCGGGGTTGATCTACTCTAGGACTGACCGGTTTGATCGCCTTGCAGTCCAGGGGACTCGCAGGAGTGTTCTCCAGCACCATAGTTCAATGATCTTCATTCTTTGGCACTCAGATGACCCAACTAGGTAAGTCCTAGAAGGGAATGCGGTTTATAAACAGAGAGCAGATCCCACTCCTATTTAGCACTGGTGACATTTTTGGGTAATCAAACGTCTGCAAGAAAACAACCAAGCTCAGAGGGCACCAAGGACCACACAATTCAACCCGGAGCTATTCTCTTCTATCGGTGTTACTAAACTGTAATAATTTATCCTAAGAGAGAGGGGAAATGTTTATCATTTATTAATTTACTGTATCGACCAAATCATCAAAAGTGAAAAACTGTACAGCCACAAATCACAGTTAAGGAGATGGTGATCAATTGTGGAGGTTGTTCATTCTTCTACCAGTGTTTCTCTTGGGATATGCCAAAGCAGAAGCCCTTCACCTGAGTAATTGGGTCCAGCCCTCTCAACATGTTATTTGCATGGGATCTCAGAAAACAGCAATAAAAAAAAGATATGAAACCATACCTACAACAGTTATGGTTGCATAACCTACATAAAAGAGTCCAGGCCCTCCTTCTATCAACATGTAGTTTACCGAATCTTGGAATCTTAAACCACGAATGACAAGGGAACAATTTGTGTAAATGTCCTCTCGCTTCGTGTACTGTGGTCCCTGTGTGGACCCATTGATTGGAGGGCGGAATCTTATTCCAATTTCCCCCATTGTTTCCGGAGACAAGCCCCTGGACCAGCTGCAGTAGACAATCTCATCTAGGGGTTTTGGTGGATCCAACCTAACGTCAAGCTTTTCCATTGGATTTGGAGGATCTGACTTAATTTGGACAGTCTCTTCGGCTCCAGCCAGATGGAAGAGGGTAGCTGCAGTAGAGAAGGAAAGAGAAAGAGAGAAAAATGGTTCTTAGCAAAATCAATGTTAAGCAAAAGGCCCTCTGAATTACAGGTAATCCTCAATTTACAACAGTTCGTTTAGCGACCATTTGAAGTTACAACAGCAGTGAAAAAAGTGACTTTTTCCACCCCCCCAGGCAACTGTTGCAGCATCCCCAGGATCACGTGATCAAAATTCAGACCTTTCACTACTGCCTCATATTTATGACGGTTGCAGTGTCCTGGGGTCACGTGATCCCCTTTTGTGGCCTTGTGATACGCAAATTCAGTGGGGAAGGCAGATTCCCCACTGACTTAACAACTGCAATGATAAATGGTAAAAAAAGGTTGTAAAAATGGGACAAAACTATCTTAACAAATGTCTTGCTTAGCAACACAAATTTTGGCCTCTGTTGTGGTCATAAGTTGAGGACTATCTGTTTCTTCGTAGAAACAAAGGTTGCAAATGTTGTTGCATATGGATTTGCAATATAACTAAAAGTCAAACCACAGCCATGCCTGTGGAAAAATTAGCAACGTTCTGTCAATCCGATCAATAAAAAAAGCAGCTGAGAAAAAGCTGTGGGCACCTAAAGCACAGAAATATCAGGTCTCTACATCTTGTTAAATTATAATTTCAGTGTAAATCATTGAATATAGCACAGCTGACTGGGTTCACCTAACATGCTGTACTACTAAAATTGAACAAGCTACATTATAATAAAATAATATAATAAAATGTAATGTGCAAACGGCATCATAGTAGCTGGTGTAGCTTTTTTAGACTAATGTCTTAGCTCTATACCTTTTTTGCCTTGATCTGAATCATCTGAAATTTCCCAAATAGTCTACAAGGGCAGGTCCACATTCCTATCCAGCACACTTCTTAATCTTGGCTAAGTGGCAGCTGTCTAGGCAATTGTGATGGTCACAATCTCAGAAGAACTTTTAGTGCTATAACATTAAAAGGACGGTCTCCTTTATACACAATTGATGGGGCCTTTGAGTATGTTAAAATATTGGCGTTCAAATGCTCTAAATTCTTGTTCTTTTTTTTTTTTAATGCTGTATATATGTATGAGCTTCCAGCAAGCCATTTTAGATTTATTTGGTTATTTGCAGTTTGATTGTTTTGCTATTAAGTCTCAGAATCCATACATTCATTAACTGACATGCAAGCCATATTCATTGCTGGCACCAAAATCCTGTTTTGCAAAATACAACCAGCATTAATGTCAAAACGATAGAGCACAGATAAAAAAACAAATAAACGAACTAGTAGAAGCTTCAGGAATTCCAATTCAAATTATTATCAATAATTAGGTTGACTACAGCAGCCCACTCTAATTTTATTTATTTATTTATTTATTTATAACATTAAAACAACTGCTCATCTTTCAACCAACTCTGAGCAGCTCCATGCGAAAGCTATAAAACCCAGCCAATGAAAACCTTAAAAACAACCGAAACCCTGGTGCCAAATCGGTTCTCTGGGCAGCTTACAAAAAATAAAACTATATTAAACCAATTAAGAATGTAAATTAAACAAGACAGCTTGGACTAAGCAGCCATTAAAACTGCAGGTGAAACCATCCGCCTACATTCACATCCAGCCCTTTCAGACACTGCCCCCCCCAAAAAACCTCCAGGAAGATGCATCATGAAGACCCAACCTTCCACCCAAACTCACATCCAACCCTTGCAGATTCACATCCAACCCTTGCAGATTGAGGTTCTCATCCATACCTGCCCAAAGCACCATCCACCAGGAACTTCTCCATCCAAGAATACTGTGTACCCCATTCATCAAGTAAGGTGGCCTGGTCTGCATTGTATAAGCGGAAGTTCTTCAGGCTTCTTGGTTCCAGAATCAAAATCCGGAACCATCGGGAATCCTGACCAAGCTAGATCCAACAGGAGCGTGGCAAATCAGATCTGGCCACCTCCTTAATGTTTCAACCGAGGTGTGGTCATCTCCTTGACTCTCGACCTCCTCACTGCTAACACAAGAGGTGTGGCTGGATTCACAAACGGTAACGGGAAAGGATGAAAACTCCACCATGCAGTATATTTAGAACTGTAGTAAAGTTTTTATTTGCTAAAAGAGCATGAATCACACAGTTTACTGGTCACAAAGCGCGATGGCAAAGTCCCATGCCATTTTTCTTTTATGAGGTTTTGTGATAGTTGGGCCTCAACTGAATGTTTTAGAACAGTGGTTCTCAACCTTTCTAATGCCACCACCCCATAATACAGTTCCCCATGTTGTGGTGACCCCCAACCACTTATACATCACCGGGTGCCAGGGGCGTGGCCAAAGAAAAGGGGGGAAAATGGCGGACAGTCTTGTTTGGCGACCCCCGTGAAATAGTCGTTCGACCCCAAATGGGGTCCCGACCCACAGGTTGAGAACCACTGTTTTAGAAGCATCTCAACCCAATCTTCTAATTGTTGAAGAATTGTTCCAGTTTGCTGATTTTTTTTTTTAGATCAGGTTTATTCACAAAGTTGTGACCATTGCAGTGTTTCCATAATCAACCTGATTTCTGACATTCCCTGCCAGCTTCCCACAAGTCCTTGGGGAAGCCAGCAGGAAGTCAGAAGTGGCTCCCACACCTGCTTTTTTACCCACCTGTGGTCTTTCTGTTTCTCAGTTCAGGTAAGGAGATGTTGATTCATCTTTGGCATGCATTTACCACTATTCCTTTTTTCTATTCATGATATATACTTTTCTTACCTCACCACAGGATCGTCCAGCATTGGAATAAAAAAATATGGTCAGCCTAAAATGTAAAGTTTGAAAGGAGCTTGTTCCAAAAAGGCACCTGGACTGCCTTGTATTTTTTTTCTTTGAAGACATTTTGCTTCTCATCCAAAAAGCTTCTTCAGTTCTAGCACTGATGATGTTACCTAGTTGGGTCATGAAACGTCTGCAAGAAAACCATCAAGCTCAGAAAGCACCAAGGACAATGAAAAACAATGAAAACCTCGCACAGGAGGAAGAGCGCTGCTGGGCGGGCAGGCAGGTGTCTTGCTCAGGCTTGGGGGGGCACTTTTTTCAGTGCCATTGTAACTTCGAACAGTCACTAAGTGAACTGTTGTAAGTCGAGGTCTACCTGTACTTTATCACTTGTTTCCTTTTGGGGGGGGCATCAAGTTTTTGACACCTTGCTAGGTGACTGGTGGTACTCGGATGTTGCCATATCCTAAAAGTGGTACAATGGGTGAAAAGGTTGAAAAGCCCTGGTCTAGTTAGCAATAAAGCTGATTGGTCGTGTCTCATGTTGTTGACCGACAGCTGAGATGGCCAGGATGAGGTCCCTGGGTGTGTTACGAAATACCAAATGCCAACTTGTAGACACTTTTCTGACAAATCTTTTGGAAGGGAGACATTGACTTTGGCCTACTTCTCTGTTGGGGAGCACCCAGTCTGGCAGGGAATAGGGATCAAACAGGTATCTAGTCTAGAATCACTGTGCAATCACAAACGGGCTAGGACCACTCCCCCTCCCTAAATTCCTTGGAGCCTTATCTAATTGTTACCAAGAGTTGACTGGGAGATTATAGGCAGAACATGATACAGGAAGTCCTCGACTTAAAATAGTTCATTTAGGAACCATTTGAAATTACAACGGCACTGAAAAAAGTGACTTAGGACCGTTTTGCACACTTATGACCGTTGCAGCCTCCCCATGGTCACATGATCAAAATTTGGAGGCTGGGCCACTGGTTCATGTTTATGACAGTTTGTAGTGTCCTGGAGATCACGTGATCCCCTTTTGCGATCAGCAAAGTCAACGGGGAAGCCGGATTCATTTAACAATCGTGTTACTTCCTTAACCGTTGCAGAGATTTCCTTAAATAATGCGTCAAGATCAGTAGTAAAATGGGGCACAACTCACTTAAAAACTGTTTCGCTTAGTGACAGAAATTCTGGGCTCGGCTGTGGTCTCAGTCTAATTGTGTAATTAGTTAGCCTGGACTCTGCAGGTGTAGTTCTGGTTAGCCTGTATTATGTTGGGTTACTTTGTTCTTTGTCCTTTTCATTTCTTCTCAGTGGAAAACAGCGTCAAGGTTCATAAGAATGGAAAGCGGTCAACAAATCCATGAAGCAGATAATCAACCCAATGGGGCAACAAAGATTACTCTATTAGTAAGCTGTGATTATTAGGATGAGAATTAGAAAATGTTTATGAAATAAAATAAGAATATATTGAAGTAAGTAATATGTGTATTTGAAATAAAGGAAATTTGGGTTATCAGAAATTTGAATATTATGGACGTTAAAGGTTAAAATTGGAATACTATAATTAGAAATTAAGAATTGGGTAAAATTCAAAAACAGGAGATGGATATGTATAAGCAAAAAATAGATTGACAACTGTTTTAATTGAGCTTGCTATGGTTAGAAACTTACTAGCTTAACTATGTTTTATTTATTTATTTATTTATTTATTTATTTATTTATTTATTTATTTATTTATGAGACTTATATACCGCTTTAAGTGCAAGCACTCTCTAAGCGGTGTACACCAGTAAGCAATGTATATATATATTTACATTGCTCCCAACAATCTGGGTCCTCATTTTACCTACCCCGGAAGGATGGAAGGCTGAGTCAACCTTGAGCCAGTGAGATTTGAACTAAAAATGCTGTTACTGAACTATTGATTACCCAGTCACCACGTTGCGTTCTAAATATTTGGATGTTAAATTGGAAAACTAATAAAATTTGTTTTAAAAAAAATAACCCAATGTGGCTGGCCCTACTGATGCAAAGACCTGTTACAGATTGAACGATGTTGAGGTAGGGATATTATGACATTGACAAAGTGTTGGGTGATTGTACATTTCTGGGTTACCACAAAATTATTTCTAGGTGACCCTTCGTCCTACAAGGACTGCTAAAATTGTCTCCCAAGTTTTGGAGATGAGGCCGTAACGGCCTTTTTTCAGACCTAAGACAGGGCCAGCTTATGCGAATTTCAAGCAGTATTTTTTATTTTATTTTATAGAGACTGTGGAGTTAAAATCCAAGGTATTTAAGGAGACTAGGCTAGGAAAGGCTTCCAGAGCAGAGGAAAGTGAGTTTGGGCCTTAAGGAATGTTTTTGATTTTGTTAAGGTTTTTTTTTAAGACCCAATCCAGCTAATAACGAAGGCTGATTCCAACCCCACAGAATCAAGAGGTCAGACATATTGTCTTTTGACGCTGACAACAACAAAGCAACACAATTGCCAAAGAGAACGATTTATTGAGTGCAAATTTCCATACTTCTCAATGCATTTGAATAACTGCATACATTTTTTCATTACAGAAATGCAAATGATAACTGGATATTGGTATGATCCATTGTTGTAATCTTAATGGAGAGCCAGGGGTGACCCCCCCAGGAACTCGACAAGGTGGTTTCAACGTAGATTTCAAAAATTCAAAATTTACAACGATGTAAAAACAGATGAAGCGTCAATTTGCCTCAGAAATCAGAGAATGGAAACCTAAAAGAGAAAACACTGTATCGTTAAAGCACAGTTTGTGTTCCAGATTTTGATGTGCATTGAACATGCCAAACAGATAAAACCAGGTGACGCTTCCATCTTGATTGTTTTCACCTACTTTGTGGAGACCACGGATTCCCACCCCGATGTCTTGCAAACATCAAAACACTTAGGGAAACTAGGGCAAATGAATCGTTCCTGAATATTTTCTGAAAAACTCATACTTACAGTGCCCTCAACGGCGGTTTAAGCTTCTTAGTCTTCCTAAAGAGAGAAAAAGAGAGCCCAAGGTAATATGAGGTGTGTCTCCATCCTCAATCTCCAGACAGGAACGCCTCAATTTTTTTGCCATGGAATTGCTTAGGGCAGTGGTTCTCAACCTGTGGGTCGGGACCCCATTTGGGGTCGAACGACCATTTCATGGGGGTAGCCAAACAACGCAGTCTGCCATTTTTTCCCCTTTTCCTTAGCTGTGCTACTCCCTTTTATTCTATTGGCTTTTGAAAGCCAATAGAATAGACTCTCTTGAATAGAGTCTAATTCTATTGGCTTTCAAAAGCCAATAGGAATTGTCCAGGCTGTCTCTGCCCTGCTGAGCCCGCCAAAAGTACCATTCTGCAAACGGTGCTGCACCAGTTGAGTAGTCCTCGACTTACGACCGGTTGAGGAGCCCTCGACTTACGACCAGTTGGGGGGTCGCGGCATTAAAAAGGTTGAGAACCACTGGCTTAGGGTTTTCCTTCCTTCTACTCACCTATCATGTCAATCTCCATAGTGGTCTCACGTTGCAGCCCAGATTTGGGGTTTATTGCCCAACAAGTATAATTCCCAGAATTCTTTGCGATGATATCCAGAACTATCACCAGGGGGTTCTTCTCAACTTGCAATCCATTGTAAAACCACAGAATGTGTGCGTCAGGAAAGGCAACAGCTACGCAGCTTAGAGTGATTTTGTCCAGATTGATGTCAACTGTCTCATTGATAAAAGGAGTGTCAGGTCCATCTGCAAGAAACAGGCATATTTTTTAACCAGGGAAGAATATCTTTCAAAATCATGGCTTTGCGGTTTTCTGAAATGTGACAAGGAAGAATGTTCCCATTTCATTTTGTCTAATGGGTCTGGGGAACGGACTGCCCTGGATGTCACCTAGATCAATGTTTTTTCAAACTTGTCCATTTTCAGATGGGTGGACTTCAACTCCCAGAATCCCCATGCTGGTTGGGGAATTGTGGGAGTTGAATGTTTCTTGCCTACATTTAGGCAAGAAAAACCAAATGTACAGGTAAAGTATAGGGGGTACCTTGCTCAATAGTAGTAACTGTGAGAGGGATCTCGGACTCCTAGTGGACAATCACTTAAATATGAGCCCGCTGTGTGCTGCAGCTGCCAAAAAGGCCAACACAGTGCTAGGCTGCATTAACAGAGGGATAGAATCAAGATCATGCGAAGTATTAATACACTTTACAATGCCTTGGTAAGGCCACACTTGGAATACTGCATCCAGTTTTGGTCACCACGATGCAAAAAAGATGTTGAGACTCTAGAAAGAGTACAGAGAAGAGCAACAAAGATGATTAGGGGACTGGAGGCTAAAACATATAAGGAACAGTTGCTGGAATTGGGTATGTCTAGTTTAACGAAGAGAAGGACAAGGGGGGACATGATAGCAGTGTTCCAATATCTCAGGGGCTGCCATAAAAAAGAGGGAGTCAAGCTATTTTCCAAGGCGCCTGAAGGCAGGACAAGAAGCAACGGATGGAAACTAACCAAGGAGAGAAACAACCTAGAACTAAGGAGAAACTTCCTGACAGTTAGAACAATTAACCAGTAGATCAACCTGCCTCCAGAAACGGTGAATGCTCCAACACTGGAAGTTTTTAAGAAGAAACTGGACAGCCATTTTTTAACAAGAGACTGGACAGAGGAAATGGCTAGCCAGGAAAACTTAACTAAACTGAAAAAACAGGAAACAATCTATTGTTCTAAGGGGCCCCGAACTCAAAACCAACAATTGAATATGTGTAATATTTTATATTATTAATGGACATGTAATGTATGATTTAGTATGTAGCAGGAAATAGGTAGGAGGCAGTCGGAAAGAGTGTAACCTCATAGTAGTACCTCAGCCAATGGGGAAAGAGAAGGGATGTGGCGGACGGGACAGGGCTGTATAAAGAAGGGAATATTTTGGGTTAAAACATTGGAGAGAACCAAGCTTTGAGCTTCTCTCCCCGCTTATTGCAATAAACGAAACCAAAGGCCTTCACTGTGTCTTGGCTGGTTATTGGTCAGGCGAGCTTGCCTCTGGTCACGAAGGAAAGTGGCCAGGAGCACATAATACTGAGAATTGAATGTGTTCAGAAGATGAAGGTTGAATGACTCCAGGCTAGAGAGAGGTTGTAAAAAGTACACAACCATGGTAGCTGCTGCATTTATCTTATAACCGGAAAGTTTGTGAGGTAGGCAAGCCTGTCTTTCTAGCCTGAAGCCTGCACTAGGTAGTCTAAGAATAACAGAATAATAGAAGAACGGAGCTGGAAGGGACCTTGGAGGTCATCTAGTCCAACCCCCAGCTCAAGTAGGGAAACCTGTACCATGTCAGACAAATGGCTGTCCAATCTCTTTTTAAAAGCCTCCACTGATGGAGCACCTATAGTTTCTGGAGGCAAGTCGTTCCACTGATTAATTGTTCTAAATGTGAGGAAATTTCTCCTTAATTCCAGGTTGCTTCTCTCCTTGGTTAGTTTCCATCCATTGCTTCTAGTCCTGCCTTCAGGTTCCTTGGAGAATAGGTGGATCCCCTCTTCTTTGTGGCAACTACCGAGATATTGGAATGCTGCTAATGTCACCCCTAAACTAGACCAGTGGTGGTGAACCTATGGCACGGGTGCCAGAGGCGGCACTCAGAGCCCTCTCTATGGGCACGCACGCCATCGCCCCAGCCCTAGGCCTTCAGCTGGGTTTTATAAAACCTTTTCTCCTTAGGCAGTGGTTCTCAACTTGTGGGTCGGGACCCCATTTGGGGTCGAACGACCATTTCACGGGGGTCACCAAACAAGGCTGTCTGCCATTTTTCCCCCTTTTCTTTGGCCACGCCCCTGGCACCTGGTGATGTATAAGTGGTTGGGGGTCACCACAACATGGGGAACTGTATTATGGGGTCGCGGCATTAGAAAGGTTGAGAACCACTGTCCTTAGGCCTCCGCTGCCAAGTACAAAAAAAAGGTTCAATCAATCAATTTCAACTTCTCGCGGGAAAAAAAAAAGATCTTGCAAAGTCGGAATTGATTGATTGAACTTTTTAGTCCCACCCAGTCTGCCGTGACCACCGCAGCCACGCCCACCCAATGGGCCACGCCCATCCAATGGGCCATGCCCAGCCAGTGGGCCACGCCCAGCCAGTGGGCCACACCCACCCGGCACTCGACGATGCATAAGTGGATTTTGGGTTGCAGTTTGGGCACTCGGTCTCTAAAAGGTTCGCCATCACTGAACTAGACATACCCAATTCTTGCAACCGTTCTTCATATGTTTTAGCCTCTATAAGAGAGATTGCCCTCTCTTAACAGAAAGGTGAAGTGAAGCATGCTGGCTGCACGGCATGACTGACGATAAGAAGATCAGACTTACATATGATATCTAAGTGATGGGGAGCGCTGACATTCGAAGAGAAGCTGTTGGAAGCCTTGCACGTATATTGAGCAGCATCGCTTCGATAACATGAGTTAATCAGAAGGGTCTGGTTGTTGTTTATCAAATGGACACGTGTAGTTTCGATCACGGGCTGGCTTCCATTGAACCAAGAATACGAAATGTCGTCACCTTCGGCTGTGCAGTTCAAGGAGATAAGTTCAGTCTCTGTGCCTTCTGATGGACCAGTGATTGCGACGTTGTGTACGCAACCTGCAAGGAGGGGAAAAAAAGGTGATGAGGCTGAAGGTCTTACCCGGAGGCTGGAGTGACCCACCAAAAGCAAAGTCCAGGGACGGATAGGACTAATGGAGAGGCAGTTTGGTCTAGCCCAGGGGTAGGCAACCTTGGCTCTTTTATGACTGGTGGACTTCAACTCCCAGAATTCCTGAGCCAGCCATGCTGAGGGGAAAGGGAGAGGTTTCCATGCTGAGCGATGCTGGCTCAGGAATTCTGGGATTTGAAGTCCATGAATCATGAGGGGGCCATAGTTCCCCCATGCTGGCTCAGGAATTCTGGGAGTTGAAGAACACGAGTCATGAGGGGGCCATAGTTCCCCCATGCTGGCTCAGGAATTCTGGGAGTTGAAGTCCACGAGTCATGAGGGGGGCATAGTTCCCCCATGCTGGCTCAGGAATTCTGGGAGTTGAAGTCCACAAGTCATGAGGGGGCCATAGTTCCCCCATGCTGGCTCAGGAATTCTGGGAGTTGAAGTCCACGAGTCATGAGGGGGGCATAGTTCTCCCATGCTGGCTCAGGAATTCTGAGAGTTGAAGTCTGCCCATCTTAATGTTGCCAGGCTGGAGAAATACAGGCCTAGGCCAGGAGTAGGCAACCTTGGCTCTTTTATGACTGGTGGACTTCAACTCCCAGAATTCCTGAGCCAGCCACGCTGAGGGGAAAGGGAGAGGTTTCCATGCTGAGCTATGCTGGCTCAGGAATTCTGGGAGTTGAAGTCCACCAGTCATAAAAGAGCCAAGGTTGCCTACCCCTGGTCTAGTAGTTGAGGCACTAGGCCAGAAAGTTGGAGAAAGTGCGTTCCAATTCTTCCTTTAGGCATGAAAGACAGCTGGGGGACTTTGGACCAACCACTGGGAGATGGTGAATTTGGGTCCCCTCTTAAGTATGAAAGTCAGTGACGTGCCAATGTTATGGCCAATTTGTTTGCTTGTTCGCTTGTTTGTATCCTGCCTTTGTTACTTTGACAAATCACTTAAGGTGGCGAATGTATTCAACGCACCTTCCTTCTCCTATTTTCCCCGCAACGACAACCCTGTGAAGTGGGTTGGGCTGAGAGACAAGGACTGGTCCAAGGTCACCCAGCTGGAAGAAGGAAGGAGCCCCATAGCAAACTTTGCTTGGACTGACCGTTATGAAAGTCCTGCCTAAACCTGGTTGGTCATTTTGGGGTGGGCAGTGAGAGATAGTTAAGAGAGGGAAAAGTAGAACTTAGAGCTCTTCCCACTTCTGGCTTTGCAATACTGCAATACAGATAGTCCTCGGCTTACAGCCATCCCTTTAGTGACTGTTCAAAGTTACAACGGCACTGAAAAAAGTGACTTATGACCTTTTCTTCACAATTATGACCGTTGCAGCATCCCCACGATCATATGATCAAATTTCAGACGCTCGGCCACTGGCTCGTATTTATGACAGTTGCAGCGTCCTGGGGTCATGTGATTCCTCTTTTTGCAACCTTCCAACAAGCAACGTTCAATGGGGGAAGCCAGATTCCTTTAATAACCAGGTTACTAATTTAACTATTTGCAGTGTTTCACTTAACACCTGTGGCAAGGAAGGTCGTAAAATGGGGCAAAATTCACTGAACAACTGTCTCCTTTGGCAATGATAGAATAGAGTAGAGTAGAATAGAATAGAATAGAATAGAATAGAATAGAATAGAATAGAATAGAATAGAATAGAATAGAATAGGAATAGGAATAGGAATAGGAATAGAGTAGAGTAGAGTAGGGTGGAGTACAATAGAATAGAATAGAACAGAATAGAACAGAACAGAACAGAACAGAATAGAATAGAATAGAATAGGAATAGAGTAGAGTACAATAGAATAGAATAATGGAATGGAGTAGAAGAATAGAATAGAATAGAATAGAATAGAATAGAATAGAATAGAATAGAATAGAATAGAATAGAATAGAATAGAATAGAGCTGGAAGGGATCTTGGAGGTCTTCTAGTCCAACCCCCTGCTCGAGCAGGAGAACCTATACCAAACGATCCTTGGCTCCATTTGTTGAGAAAGATATAGTTGTGGCCCAATTGTGGTCCTACGTTGAGGACAACCTGTACAGTTGGTCTCTAATAATATCTTCCTGAACAAATGGAGATCTTTTCTATTTTGAGGTTAAAGGGGTGGCAGGTCCCACAGACGGTGCTGGTGAAAGGGCTCTCAGCCACCAACCCACAATGACAACAGACCACAAGTGTTGACTCCACCGCGGTTACCTACTTTTCTCCAAGCGGATGTGCTGATCGCTGCTGTTGTTCCGTGTGCGAAGAAGCTGATTCAGGGCTTCGCAGACGTAGATCCCGGCTTGGCTCTCGCTGAAATTTTCAATGATTAATTTGGGCCCAGAGTCCACAATGGCACCATCACGGTACCAAGTGTACTTTGGCTCGGGACACGAAGCAGCCGAACAGTTGAGGATGATGGTTTGGCCTTCTTTATTACAGACGTTGTTTGGCTGGATGACAGGCACCTCTGGACCATCTAGGGACGAAGACACAATGCAGAAAAATTTGGATTTGAACAGAACAATTCAGGCCGAATCCTTCTACCCGTTCCCCCGCAAGAGCAAGCAGGCTCTTGATTGTCCCCAAGATGCTTTTTCAATTTGCAACTGGACTATCTTGGTTTTTCCTTTGAAGATGTTTCGCTTCTCATCCAAGAAGCTTCTTCAGGTTCTGGCTCAATGACTCTTAGAAAGAGCGCCAATGACCAGATGACTGCAAAGGATATAAATCCTTCCATTCTCCACCATTCCGTCAGAACAGAAGAAGCTTCCTCGATGAGAAGCAGAATGTCTTCAAGGAAAAACAAAGAAAGTCCAGTTGCAAATTGAAAGAGCACCTTTGGGACAACCCTGCCCTGGAGGACTGAGCATCTCCACATGTGCTGGACCAGCCAGTTAGCTGAGCACTGTATGTTAGAATGTTTGGCATTTAAAGGGTTAAGCGCTGTCTCCTTAAGAGATAGCTTACGGGTAACGTAGTTTAGCTGTTCAGTGAATCCTATAATTATCCAGTTAAGTGGGAGGAGTTTCAAAGTTATTGCAGGACATCCTGTGACGTATCTGAGTAAAAGGAATGCTTTTGTGTGAAACCAGCATGGGACGCATGCAGGGATATTGTCTACAACCACGCTAAAGCTGATATGAAGGAATTACTGTTTTTACCTAGGTAAAATGGACAAATGTACACATCCGGACGCATCTTCAGAAAGTAAGTTCTGCTAAGAATTCCTGGAATAAATATTTGTTTTAAAACCATTTTTCGTTGACTCTGCCTGGACTTGAATTACAAAGCATCTTAGTTCAGGTTCCAGAACACCCTAGATAACAGGATCTTGATTGTGAGGCCTCCACCCACACCTTGAAGACTCCAGATCTTTAAGGACCCAAATGGGCCTCTGAATTGGCCTGCCTCATCAATGAAATCCCTTATGGACAAGGTAGTATCAACCATCCCATCCCTGTCATGAATTTAGCTGCTGTGTTTCAACCAAAATGAAGAGAACAGACTAATTGAGGAACTGTAGCTAAGTCCTTACTGGGACCAGCCCTGCTGGTGATAGTGACTGACTACTAGGCAGGGCTGTCTCGCTTTCTGGAGAAGGGATGGGCTCCATTTGGTCATGGAGTTCCGCCAGATGGCCCTGCCCTGTTCCTCACCTTCTCCAGCTGGTCTTTCTTCAGAGAGGCTGGCTGTTGCCTATCTTCTCACTACATTTACCAACATCATAAATTCTCTCCTTTCTGACCTTCAAAGGTTGTTTAACCCCTCTGTGGGTGTCCTTTTCCCCAGTTAAGGTTCAAGTCCTTTTTTGAGTCAAGGCAGGACCAAATTACTCAGATGCAATAAGGGAACAAACCCTCTTTGAGGGACATAAAACCTTGATGAGAAAGAAATATTCTTCAGGGCTCACCACACATCTATAATCTTTTCTTTCTTTCTTTCTTTCTTTCTTTCTTTCTTTCTTTCTTTCTTTCTTTCTTTCTTTCTTTCTTTCTTCCTTCCTCCCTCCTTTCCTTCCTCCCTCCTTTCCTTCCTTCCTCCCTCCCTCCCTCCCTCCTTTCCTCTCTTCCTTTCTTTTCCTTTCCTTTCCTTTTCTCCCTCTCGTTGTTCCTTCTCTCTCTCCCTTCCTCCCTCCCTCCCTCTTTCCTTCCTTCATTCCTTCCTTCCTCCCCCCTCCTTCCCTCCTTTCCTTTCCTTTCCTTTCCTTTCCTTTCCTTTCCTTTCCTTTTCTCCCTCTCGTTGTTCCTTTTCTCTCTCTCTCTCTTTCTCTCTCTCTCTCTCTCTCTCTCTCTCTCTCCCCCTCGCTCCCTCTTTCTTTCTTGACCAGACTGTTTTTGAAAGAAGAGCGTTTATTCTCTCTTTTGTTTGTTTGTTTTAAATTTGTTTTCGTTACGATAGCAGACATTGCACATGTCAGAAGAACTTTTTTTTTTTTTAATTGAAATTTTTCAAAAATTTTACAAATAAACATCCACCCCCCCCTCCCAAACCACCCCACCCTCCCCCCCCGACTTCCCAGAACTGAATATAGGATTATTTAACAAATTTTAAAAATAACGTTTACAATTTATAAGATAATTAATAGTAATAGTAAAAGTCATAATAATAATATATGTAATAATAATATGCGTAACATAAGCTTTAAAATGAATAATATATACTAAGAAAGAAAAAAAAAGAAAAAAGAAAAGAGAGAGAAAAAGAAAAAAGTAGACGAAGAATAAAACATATATATAAAAAAAAAATTATATGAGTAATAATACGTAAAGCGTGTATAAAAAAAAAAGAAGAAAAAGAAGAAAGAAAGAAAGAAAAAACAATCATTACAAGTTATAAAAAGGCTAGATAATATTTTTCCATATCCAAATTATGTTGTATGAAATTTATCCATTTTTCCCATACCGCAAAGAATTTCTCTTGAGATTGCTCCTTTAAAAAAGCCGAAATCTTTGCCATTTCTGCCAAGTACGAAACTTTATGAAACCACTCTTGTAAAGTAGGCAAGGATTCCTTCTTCCAATATTGTCCTATTAACAGCCTGGCGGCTGTAATCAAATTTAACATCAATATAACCTCCTTCGCATCACAATCAATAACAATACCTAATAAAAATAATTGCGGAGTAAATTTTACCCTCTTTTTAAAAATTCTTTGAATATTCCACCATATCTTAATCCAAAAAGCTTTTATATGCTTACACGTCCACCAAATATGGTAATAAGTAGCATCCAAATGTCCACATCTCCAGCATTTCGGCTGTAGATTAGGGTACATAATGGACATTTTCTTTGGATCAAGGTGCCATCTATAAAACATCTTATAAAAATTCTCTCTTAAATTTTGCGCTTGTGTGAATTTAACATTTCTTATCCAAATAAGTTCCCAAGTATCCATTGAAATCGTTTCACCAATATTCTGTGCCCATTTAATCATACAATCTTTAACTAGTTCAGGTTCTGAATCCAATTCCACTAAAACCCCATAAACTCTCTTAATATGGGTTGGCCTTTGATCTCTTACTTGTTTTAGAAGAATTTCATCTTCTCTAAGCCAGCCCATTTTACAATCCATCTTCCATCTTTCCACTATTTGTCTGTATTGGAACCATGAATAGGTTAAATTTTCATGTGTTAATTCTTCCAAGGATTTTAACTGCCAGTCTTGGCCATCCCATCTAAGTAGCTGTGCATAAGAAACCATATCCATATTAACCCCTTTCCTTATGCCTTCTATGGCATGCCGAGGTATAGCCCATAATGGTATTTTGAAGTCACTTTTATAATACTTTCTCCACACTCTAAGTTGTCCTCTACAGGCTTTGCCATTTACAAAAAACGACAACAACAGTTCTATAGATGACATTTAAAAATGCGTTGGAGGCAATGGACGCCAAATACTCACAGATCACACTGAGGTATGCAGGTTCACTCGTAAATAAAAGGCCACCATTGGAGACTTGGCACTGGTACGCCCCGGTGTGCTCCCGAGTTGCAGGGTCAATGGAGAGGGTCCAGTTGTACTCTTGGGGCAGGGGATGTCCATCCTTCAACCACCTAACGCTCTGAGTGAAGGTTGAATTGCAGTATAGCTGAACGGCCTGGAATTCCACAATGAAAGGGGATGGCGAGATAACCACATTTGGCTTCGGCACAAACTCTGCAGACAGAAGAGAGATGGTTAGAGATGATAGAAACCAAGTGTGATAGGCACAACCTGAGGCCTTAGCCCAGGGATAGGCAACCTTGGCTCTTTTATGACTGGTGGACTTCAACTCCCAGAATTCCTGAGCCAGCATGGCTCAGCATGGAAACCTCTCCCTTTCCCCTCAGCGTGGCTGGCTCAGGAATTCTGGAAGTTGAAGTCCATGAGTCACAAAAGAGCCAAGGTCGCCTACCCCTGCCTTAGCCGGAACTGAGTTTAGACTTAAATTAAAGAAAAAGGTGTTTGAAGGGGCCGCTTAAAGAATTTGAGATTCTTTTTCATTCGTTACCAATTCATTATAATGTCCTATCAGGCTGTCTCTCTCTCTCAATTAAGACGCCTCTATTGCTCACATCACCAGGCTTTCGCGGTTTGATTCACAGGTGGCTTTGTTTATTGATTTGTATCCCGCCATTATTATTTTTACAAATAACTCAAAGCAGCAAACATGTCCAACACACCTTCCTCCTCCTCTTTCTCCACAGCAACAACCCCGTGAGGTGAGGTGAGGTGAGGTGTGAGAGAGGGACTGGCCCAAGGTCACCCAGCTGGCCTTCATGGCAAAGGCAGAACTGGAACTCACAGTCTTCCGCTTTCCAGCCTGGGTGCCTTAATCACTTAAACCATCTGTGTGCGTTGACACTTTCTTGTCAAAGAGGCCTCCCCATCACAGGGTGTTAAATGTGGCATATTACATTTATTTTCGTCCTAGTCGCACTTATGAGATTTTGGAACATAGTTCTGGCATACCACTCCAGATGTTACCAAGGGCAGTTGATCTTTCTTTCTTTCTTTCTTTCTTTCTTTCTTTCTTTCTTTCTTTCTTTCTTTCTTTCTTTCTTTCTTTCTTTCTTTCTTTCTTTCTCTCTCTCTCTCTCTCTCTCTTTCTTTCCTTCTTTCCTTTCCTACTTTCCTTTCCCTTCCTTCCTTCCTTCCTTCCTTCCTTCCTTCCTTCCTTCCTTCCTTCTTTCTTTCTTTCTTTCTTTCTTTCTCTCTTTCTATCCCTCTTTCTTTCCTTCTTTCCTTTCCTACTTTCCTTCTTTCTCTTCCTTCCTTCGTTCCTTCCTTTCTTTCTCCCTCTTTCTTTCTTTCTTTCTTTCTTTCTTTCTTTCTTTCTTTCTTTCTTTCTTTCTTTCTTTCTCTCTCTCCTTTTCTTTTTCTCCCTCCCTCTTTCTTTCTTTCTTTCTTTCTTTCTTTCTTTCTTTCTTTCTCTCTCTCTCTTTCTTTCTTTCTCTCTCTCTCTCTCCCTTTCTTTCCTTCTTTCCTTTCCTTCTTTCCCTTCCTTCTTTCTTTCCTTCTTTCTTTCTTTCCTTCCTTCTTTCTTTCTTTCTTTCTTTCTTTCTTTCTTTTTCTTTCTTTTGATTCATAGAACCACCCAACTCACACAAGGTGACTCCAGGCAGTGCACAGCATTAGAAATCAACCACCAGAAACACCTCACCCCACAGGATGGGAAAGCTCACCAGAGTCAACTCGGCACAGCCAACTGACGGTGGGACAATTCACTGTAGGACAATCCACCAATTTAATTTATTTATTTAAAATTATGTTAAAAAACTATTTTAATTTTGGTCATTCACTTTCCATGTTGGCATCCTTCCTTTAATGATTCTATTCCATTATTTCTTCATTATTAACGTAACTCTTGTCCCATGGCCAGTTGGCTACGGTGAGTTGTCGTAGACCCCCACACACCCCACCCTAGGGCAACCACAACCACAATCATATAAGCCACTTGATTGGCTCTCCAAACTCAGAGTCCCCCGGCCCGCTGACAGAAACCATGTCTTCGTAGCCTTCCAGAAAAATCACAAGATAGGGAGGCATTCATGGAGGACTTTATGGATGGAGATGTATGCACTGCTAGAGCAGAAACCCTCATTTTCAGCTCAGTAATTTGAGCCGGTGCCTTCACACCCATGAGGGTACGGGGACTCTGAATTCTGGCCAGCCTGTCCCAATTTTTTTAAAAAAAGTCTTACCGCTGACTTCTAATCTTATATTCCCATTAGAAATTGTAGCTCCTGCTACGGTCAGCAGGTAGTTTGCAGTGTCACTTAATGTTAGCTCCTTAATGCGAAGGGAGCAGTCAGAGTAGACCGTTTCTCTCTTAGTATATCCTGGTCCAGTGCTGTTTAGACTTTGACTAAATAGCAGCGTCACGATTTCTAGCGGATCGGCCCCCGTTGGCTGACGGGACCAGGAGCAAAAGATAGTACCCCCTGGGGGAGTTGGTGGCTTCAACAGGACTTCAGACGTCTCCATTGGATTTGGAGGAACTGCCTCAATAACAATGTCTTCATTCGCTTGAGCCACATGGACACTACCATGGAGGATGGCACCTGCAGGTTGAAAGGAGAAAGAGAGACAGAGGGAGGGAGGGAAACGATAGAGTCTAAGTAAGATACATTTCATCAAGCAAAAGACCCCTTCCTAGAATTTATCTGCAGAAAAGGTTTCTGGAAAGTGCTTTTCCGCGCTCAAATCACAAGAGTGCAAATTCCTCCTCCAACAAAGCCAGATTTGCTATCCTGCAGGAGAAATTAGAAAACACCATCAACCATTTTTTTTTAAAGAAAAAGCAACCTGGTTAAAAACTGAAGGGAATTTAACACACACCCCAACATCTGGTGACCCCATTATTTGTTTAACGATGGTTAAACCATTGGGGTTGGGTTTGCATGATGTGTCAGTCCCAAAATCAAGCAGGCTACGCTTAGCAAAGCAGGTTAATTGCACCAGAGGACCTTATAATGGCTAAATGTTCATAGAAAACATTGATTGCCTTTTGAGACATGGAAAAGTGCCCCTTTGAGGCTTCCATGGAAAGGTAAGCACAACCCAGGCACGTACTATCACATTTGGTGGACATGTGGAAAAAGCTAAGGCTTATTGGAAAAAGATACATACGTGGTTAGAAAAAATATTAGGTGAACATGTTGATTTTAAACCTGAACTTTTCTTACTAGGTATAATGCCTGAAAAGATTAATAAGCAGAGTCTATATTTGATTTTACACATCACTACAGCAGCGAGAATAATCTTTGCGCAATATTGGAAAAACGAAGGACTGCCCTCAGAGAAAGAAATAATCAGAAAAATATTGGAATGTGCAGAGATGGACAGATTAACTATGAGATTGAAAGATAAAGAAGACACAGATTACTGCCAAACTTGGGACTTATTTTATTGTTGGTCAGAGGGAAGAATGGAGGATTAGGAATCGAATATGTATTAACATAGCTAACCCCAGACAGCTCGTTGGTTGGAAATTTAACATATGTATGTAAAAGAAAATCAATAAAATCTCTATTTAAAAAAAGGGGAAAGTGCGCCTTTGGGACTTCCATGGATTTTGAGACTTCTTAAGCGAGTTAACTGAAATTCAATCACTAATACAAAGTTCTGTTTTGTAAAATAAGAGCGGCATGGGTGTCAAGCAGCAGAATCATCCAACAGAACCCAGGTAGATATATCAGGAGTTCTAATGAGGACTTGATCCTCTACCCAAGATCACATTCAACCTTTTTAGACTCTGCTATTCAGGGTTCTCATCCATACCTGCCCAAAACACCATCCACCAGGAGCTTCTCCATCCAAGGTTACTGCGTACACTATCCATCAGGCAAGGTGACTTCCTCCGCGCTGGGTGACTGGTAAATCTTCCTGTTCTTTTGTTCAGAACTAAACCTGGTACCACCAAGAATACTCCTGCTTTTATATATCAGGAACCGGTATGTGGTCACTTCTATGTCACTCAACCTTCTCCAATTAACCCACCCCTCTCTGCCCTTCCCAAAGAGGTGTGGCAAAGATTCACAAGTTGTAATGGAAAAATAAGGAATGCACATAGAGTAAGTTTAAAATTAGTACATATATTTTTTATTTGCTAAAAGAACATGAGTCACTGCAGTTCAGGCGAAAACCTCATTAGATGTTCACAGCAAGGTTTACTATTTACAAAGGGCTCCAATTTATGTATTTGTGGTACCTTTTGCACATATAATTTAGCCCCAACTCTAAAGGGATGCAAGGGCAAAGACAAGAAGAAGTTGTATACCCGGGCTGGTAATAAAGATTTAATTTGAAGTTATATACCGAACATTCCCACCCAACCTTTGTCATGGTTGAAAAATGTCAAGAACATTACATGAAAAGAAAAAATAAAACCCAGCAAAAAAAAAAATATTGCATCTACAAAAAGATTCCAGGGTTTGCTGCTTTCAAGATGGTAGTATATTAAAAACTCACTTAACAACAGAATGTCTCACTGAACAACAGAAACTTTGGGCTCAGTGGTGGTTGTAAGTTGAGGACTACCTGTGTTAGAAACCCATCCTCCAAAAATCCCAAGAAATTAGCTGATTTCAATTTCATTTCAAATAAGATCAGTGTGGACTGAAAAGGCTTCGGATCTTTCTTTTCCGCCTCTGAATACTTACTTTGAAATATTTGAAGATCAGTTCCATTCGTAGGCTTTTTCTCTTTTGCTTTCCAAGTTGATGGGTTTATTTATTGGGGGGGGAGTACATTGGTGTTCCCCCCCATTTTTGCTTTCTTTCGTCATGTATTATAAGCAGTAATATCAATTATAAACAAAGGTCAGCCTGATCCTGCTCTACGAACAAAAGACAAAAGGAACACATATCCCGTGTTGTGATCAATAATATTGAAGCTTGTTGCGCCACAAGATTGTTATTTGTTTCTGTGGCGCTGCTGGTTTGCATTTGCAAATTAACGTGTGTGTGTGTGTGTGTGTGTGTGTGTGTTTTAAGTTGGAACGGTAAGGAAGCAGTGGGATTCATCCTCCAGCCGTGAGCAGAATTTGCTGATTTGCTAAAAAAAAGGGGGGGGTGAGCGGGGTGCTACTGAGCCCAGGGAGAAAGGCTGATGATTTTGCTCATTCACATTTTTTCATGCTATACATTGTCGGTCCTCTGGTCCGCAAGGACTGCAAACATCAAAAAAAGGAAGATGACAATCTCAATGGATTAGCAATGCACCTGACCAACAGGGGGCGCTTCAGTGGCACCACCATAGCTGCCATCTTGACTTTTCTGACCACGACCGATTTGTGCCCTGTATATGTAGGTGCATAGATGTGTCTGTGTGAGGGGGAGCTTTCTGAAAAGATTCATCCACCCAAAATTCCTTGTTCAGTGTTTCTCTTGAGTTAGCAATTTTAAGATGGATGGGCTTTCCCTCCTAGTTTTCTGACTGGCTGGGGAATTCTGGGAGTTGAGGGTCCACACCTCTTAAAATGGTTGAGAAAGGCAGAATTGGGCGGGCTGTAAAATTGGTAATGTTGTTTCTATAGTTTGGGATGGGAAAGACAAAAACGTGGTCCTTTTTTCTCACGGTGCAAATAACAGAATATCAATGTTGGAAGGGACCTCGGTGGTCGTCTAGTCCAGCCCCTTCTAGTCCAATCAAGGAGAGAAGCAACCTATAACTAAGGAGAAACTTCCTGATAGTTAGAACAATTAACCAGTGGAACAACCTGCCTCCAGAAGCGGTGAATGCTCCAACACTGGAGGTTTTTAAGAAGAGACTGGACAGCCATTTGCCTGAAATGGGGTAGGGTTTCCTGCCTGAGCAGGGGGTTGGACTAGATGACCTCCAAGGTCCCTTCCAACTCTGTTATTCTATACCCAATTCCTGCAACTGTTCTTCGTATGTTTTAGCCTCCAGTCCCCTAATCACCTTTGTTGCTCTTCTCAAACATCTGCCTTTTTTGTTATTCGTGATCCGTTACCTGTGAAATTGCTCAGTGACTGTAGCCCAGCAGCTTCCAATATTTGGAATATTCTGCCTACCCACCCACTACTCAGGAGATACAAATCGCCCTGTCTCTGCTTACATTTTGCAAACATCTGAAAACCACCTTATTTTTAACATGCTTTGGGCCCTTAGTTGTTTCTTTGAACGCTGTCATTTTTTAAAGTTTATGGGGTGACTGTATTTTATGCTTCATTTCTATTGCCCCTCCACAGTCCATCAGGCTACGGCAGAATGTTAATTTTGGAAATAAATAAAGAATGGAATGCGAACACAACACAATTTACTGCTGGGAGTGACAATCCGGCAAGATTTATTCTTCAAAACACAGCTCCGTTTTATCAAAAATGATTGTATGGCCAACTATTCCCCCCAGGCACCGTTTTGGTATGATAAATTTCAGATTGAACGGCTGAAAAAGGATCATATTTCTCTTTGTAAAAGCAAATATATACCCAGGGACAAGAAATCATCCATATATCGGTAAGAGTAAGATAACACAGAACCGAGGAATATGTTCTTGGTTTCGTTTTTATAGGATTGCAAGCAGTCCTCAACGTATGAACACAATTGAGCCCAAAATTTCTGTTGCTAAGCGAGGCAGTTGCTAAGTGCATTGTGTCCCGAAGTGCTTTTCACAAAGGTAATGAAGATTGGCAACTTCAGTGGTGCATTCTATTCTATTCTATTCTATTCTATTCTATTCTATTCTATTCTATTCTATTCTATTCTATTCTATTCTATTCTATTCCTAATTCCCAGTCTATATTCTATTCTACACTCTACTCTACTCTACTCTACTCTACCCTACCCTACCCTACCCTACCCTACCCTACCCTACCCTACCCTACTCTACTCTACTCTACTCTACTCTATTCTATTCTATTCTAATTTTTCTACTTCACTCCATTATTCTATTCTATTCATTCATATTCATTAAACAAAGTTCAAATTTTCTCCAACTTATCAAGCCTTATCATGTCTTTGTTGTCAATTTCTATCACTATTAAACCTGTATTATAACTTTATCAGTTTACAAATACAATAGTTTAAATTTAAATCAAAAAATTATCAATTCTAATTCTTAATCTCTCACATCCCTCATTTTATACCAAACTCATTTATTTCTTCTTCCACTAGACAATAGGTATCTTAATAGCAATAAAATATTGATCAGCCCTATATATATGTAATCCCAAAAACAATCCATCTCTTTAAAATAACAGAATAATATTAAACCTTAATTCATTCATATTCATTAAACAAAGTTCAGATTTACAATACTGAATTTATGGATTGTTTTAAGGATTAAGAGCTAGAGTTAGAAGCAACTAAATACATATACATACAGGAGCGTGATTATTAGAATAGATATTTTAAACAGATTAAGAATGTATTGGATTGTATTTATGTAGCGTTTGGGAAATATATGAAAATTATTATCTATTGGAATTGAAAAAATGATGATTGCTGGGATTGGAATGCTTTTAATAATTTATGGAATGTTTTAAATTACCCATCAATTTTGGATACTGGTAAAAGGCACCAGGCTAGAAACGGGAGGACCAGAAGCCACTAGGGATTTTGGGACCGGTCCAATTCTTAGCATCTTCCTTACATTCAGGGTGTGAAGGAGCCCTTTCACACACACAATTCACGGCCACCTTTCCCAGCAACCGCACACTATAAACCATTTTATGAAAGCGCTTTAATAAACATGGTGGAGACAAAAAACCCCACCCACAAGATAAACAGAACAGCTATATTCTTGTTCTTCTTTCTGTTTTCTCTCTCTGTTCTTCTCCTATTTTTGGAACTTCCATTTTCATTCGTCGGTCTAGTAAAAATTTTAATTATATATATAAAAAAGCCGTACTACAAACCAGAAAAAAATAAAAAGTAAAAAATTCGTAGGGAAGGAGATATTGAAGGAAGTAAAAAACAAAAAAGGCATGACAGGAAACCCCCTCCACCATTCCTCTCCAGATTAGGCACCACCTAACCGCAGTCATAAAAAGCGATTGCTTTTGTGGTTTATTGCCAGGGTGGTGATCCGGAGGTGCCTCAAAATTAATCAGCTTCTGGCATTCCACTTTGCTGACCTGGTCTGTCTTGGGGGGACCTCAGGACGGGGTGGATAGGAGCGGGAGGGGGGCAGGATTACCAACTTCCTTTGACCCAGTCTTGTCAGATTCATAGGGCATCCTCGCTATTAGTCATTCAGCTCTGGACAGTACTGGTTTCTAACTGGCAAGTTTTCGTATGCAGGTAGTCCTCAAGGTCGTAAAATGGGGCAAAACTCATTTGACAAACGAGTTAAATTTGGGGCTCCAATTTGCGGTCGTACATTGAGGATTCCCTGTACGGCACACGTATTCCCTGAACACAGGACACTGGTCAAGCACGCTGAGTCCGCAAAGGCCTTCAAAACTGGGCCGGTACAAATATGGAACCCCTTCAAATCGAAGAGACATCGACCTTTCTTGAAGGGTCTAAAAATGTTTGCGGAGATATTACAAAACAGCAACGAGATCGGACAAGAAGTGTAACCTTAGGCCGTATGCAATTTTGCACAATGCCTATTTATGTAAGAAAGGGGAAAAATAACAGTGAATGCTCCTGCACTTATACTAATATGATTATTATTTTTAGGAATATTGGGAAAAAATTATATATTGGTTATTTATCAACACAGTAAGAATTATATTAACTCAATGCTTGCAAAAGAGGTTATTTTGGGGAAAGAGGAAATCAACTAAAATTAACATATGGAATATGGATTATAGACATTAATTGTTAATGATTGTTTTACAAATGTAACCCAGACAACACACTGTTCACCAATTATTGAGTGATTTATGTTTTTTTTAAAAAAAAAATCAATAAAATATATATTTTAAAAAAAGAGTTAGCTGGAAAGGTTACCTTGATTTGAAGTGAACTGGAATTCAGAAGGGACATTATAAAAGAACCGTTTAGAGAAAATGTGGATTAAAGAGAAATATTTAAGTCTGAAAAGGTGATATCTCTGCTATGTGACAAGTTCTTCAGGGCTGTGTGTGTTGTGTCTGGCAAAAAAAAAAAAAATCTCAGCTCTTTTATCTAATTTTAGAGAGACGTCTTCTTTATCATTGGTACATCCCATCAAAATCATTGTGTCTTACTCCATATTTAATTATCCATGTGGTCACAGCAGCAAGGATACTATTTGCTCAAAAGTGGAAAGCAATGGAAGTACCAAGTGGGGAAGCACTAATAAAGAAAATTATGTATTGTGCAGAACTAGACAGGATAACTAAAAGATTAAAAAATCAGGAAGAAACAGAATTTTATCGAATTCTGTGAGCTCCATTTTATAGATGGAGGAGGAAAAAATGGAGCTCACAGTAAAGAGATAAACTGAGATAGAGACTAGAAATGTTTAGTTGTATATAGGTATATTATATGTAATTAATGTACAATATGGACTGAGATGTCAGTCAAAGACGATTTACCACGTTCAACGTTTTTAATCCTTTTTTTTTCTTTGTACTTAATAAAATTTTAAAAAAATCATTGTGTCTTACTCAAGAGAAAAGCTTGAGATTGGAACATAGAATCAATCAGAAATACTATTTGATAATCAGAAGTGAGACGGGCAGGTCCAAGAAGTGATTAGAGCATTTGAGTAAGGAATAGCAATAGAAGAGAATATTTGTTGCAGTGGGGTCTTTGGTGCTTTCTGATCACGGTTGTTTCCTTGCAGACGTTTCATTACCCAATTAAGCAACATCATCAGTGTTAGAAGGGAAGGGGTTTGTGTTACAGGAGGAGGGGAAGAAGAGGAGGAGGAAGTGGAAGAGGAGGAGGAGGAGGAAGAGGAGGAGGGGAGAAGGAGGAGGAAGTGGAAGAGGAGGAGAAGGAGGAGGAGGAAGGAAGGAAGGAAGGAAGGAAGGAAGGAAGGAAGGAAGGAAGGGGAGGAGGAGAAGGAGGGAGGGAGGGAGGAAGGAAGGAAGGAAGGAAGGAAGGAAGGAAGGAAGAGGAGGAGGAGAAGGAGGGAGGAAGGAAGGAAGGAAGGAAGGAAGGAAGGAAGGAAGGAAGGAAGGAAGGAAGGAAGAATGTGAAGTTCTTGGTACTCTTAGAGCTTGCTTGCTTTCTTGCAGATGTTTCATTACCCAGCCAGGTAACATCACCAGTGCTAGAAGAGAGTAGAGTTTATAATCAGAGAGTGAACCCCGCTCCCTTCAAGCATTGATGATGGTTACCTAGTTGGGTCATGAAATGTCTGCAAGAAAACAAACAAGCCCAAAGAACGCCGAGCACCCCAAAGAAAGCAATCCAATTTGAAGTGTAGTAGCAGACGCCAAGGAAAAGTTGTGGGTCCCAGAAATGTGGATCGAAATAGTAACGCCAGGGGCTGTGCAGGGGCTACTCAATCTCTAAAGTGGTGTTTTCCTTCCGGTGAGTGAAAGGATTTGTCGCCTGGCAGGTGTAACTCCCCGACTGAATGTTCTTGAGAAGAACTTCAGCTTTCTCGCTGAACTCCTTCCCGTTGTGGAACCAGCGATATTCTGCTTCGGGAAACGAGCTGGCTTTGCAGTTGAGCTTCCGGTTGGTCGGCCGAGTGAGAAATTTCGCAGTCATCTTGATCACAGGGGGGTCTGGGCCATCTGTGGGACGTAATTTATGGAGAGTTGAGGGCTTGTAGTAGTTGGTCATCATGCCCTTTCTCCTTCAGAGCCTTAGAAACCCTCCCAGAGAATTTTTTTTATATATATAATATTTGATAATATGGTGCCCGAAACTGCATCCAGTTTTGCTCACCATATTACAAAAAAGAGGTTGAGACTCTACAAGGAGTACAGAGAAGAGCAACAAGATGATTAGTGAGCTGGAGGCCAAAACATATAAGGAAAGGCTGCTGGAATTGGGTATGTCTAGTTTAATGAAGAGAAGAACTAAGGGTGACATGATAGCAGACTTCCAATATCTCAGGGGCTGCCCCAAAGAAGAGGGAGTCAAGCTATTCTCCAAAGCACCAGGAGGCAAGGCAAGAAACAATGGATGGAAACTAATCAAGGAGAGAAGCAACCTAGAACTAAGGAGAAACTTCCTGATAGTGAGAATAATTAATCAGCGGAATGACTTGCCTCCAGAAGTTGTGGCTGCTCCCATACTGGAGATTTTAAAGAAGGGATTGGACTACCATTTGAAATGGTATAGCAATAGCACTTAGACTTACATACTGCTTCATAGTGCTTTACAGCACTTTCTGAGCAGTTTACAAATGTCACCATATTGCCCCCAACAATCTGGGTCCTCATTTTACCGACCTCAGAAAGATGGAAGGCTGAGTCAACCTTGAGCCAATGAGGATCGAACTACTGGCGGTCGGCAGAATTAGCTTCCAGTACTGCATTCTAACCACTCTGCCACCACGGCTGTACATAGAGTTTGCTGCTTGAGCAGGGGGTTGGACTAGAAGATCTTCAAGGTCCCTTCCAACTCTGTTATTCTGTATTATATATTCTTAGGAGCCCAGTCCCATACATACATATGCAATATATGGCAGATAACCATCTCTTAAGAAGAGAAGAGAAGAGAAGAGAAGAGAAGAGAAGAAATAGAGAAATGAAGAATAGAAGAGAAGAGAAGAGAAGAGAACAGAAGAGAACAGAAGAGAGCAGAAGAGAATAAATAGAGAAATGAAGAATAGAATAGAACAGAACAGAACAGAATAGAATAGAATAGAATAGAATAGAATAGAATAGAATAGAATAGAATAGAATAGAATAGAATAGAATAGTTGGAAGGGACCTTGGAGGTCTTCTAGTCCAGCCCCCTGCTCAGGCAGAAAACTCTATATCGTTTCAGACAACTGTCCCATCTCTCCTTAAAAACTTCCAGAAGAGGAAGAAGCTGACCATCATCGGAAGTGAATACTCACAGATCACAGAAATGGTGGTGGTGTCACTCCTTTGAGCAGATAAAGGATTGGAAATGTGACATTGATATGCGCCAGCATCATTACGGAGAACGGGCTGTATGGTGAGCGTCTGGTTATTATTGGACAGCTGGATCCGGAGGCTGGAACTGAGGGCTTTCCCATTCCTCAGCCAGCTGATATTTGCAGATCTTACAGTTGTGTCACACTTGAGGTGGACAGAATCCATATTCTCTCGGAAAAGCTGGACGATGGACATGCTCGGCTTGGGCAGTAAGCTCGGAGCTGAAAGAGAACGAAAATAGCCACTGTGAGCATTGGCACATGCTTGATCAAGCCTCAAAATCTGACCTCCGGTGGAATACAGTAGTCCTCAATCTACGACCACAATTGAGCCCCAAATGTGGACTTCAACTCCCAGAATGCCTGAGCCAGCCATGCTGAGGGGAAAGGGAGAGGTTTCCATGCTGAGCCATGCTGGCTCAGGAATTCTGGGAGTTGAAATCCACCAGTTATGAAGGGGCCAAAGTTTCCCCCATGCTGGCTCAGGAATTCTGGGAGTTGAAGTCCACCAGTCATAAAAGAGCCAAGGTTGCCTACCCCTGATTTACTAGACCAGTGGTTCTCAACCTGTAGGTCGGGACCCCATTTGGGGTCGAATGACCATTTCACAGGGGTCGCCAAACCATGCTGTCTGCCATTTTTTTCCCTTTTCCCTAGCTGTCCTACTCCCTCTTATTGGTGGCCACACCCACTTGGGGGTCACCACAACATGGGGAACTTTATTATGGGGTCACGGCATTAGAAAGGTTGAGAATCACTGTACTAGACTTTCAGTCAATTCCATGAAGCATAAACACTAATAAAGGGTGAGATAAAAATCAAATAAATAAATCTGATAGCATTTATTTATGCTAGGTTTCCAAAACAAGACTTGACTGGCTGTGTCTCACAACTCTCTTTCAAATGCTAAAGACTTTCCCCTTTCTGCCTAGTGATTCCCAGAATTATGAGAGACCATGAGTTCAAGTCCTGCCTTAACCATGAAATCCAGTTGGGTGACTTTGGGCCAATCACCAGGAGACGGTGAATTCTAGTCCCGCCTTAGGCCTGACAGCCAGTTGGGTGACTTGGGCCAATCACCAGGAGACGGTGAATTCTAGTCCCGCCTTAGGCCTGAAAGCCAGTTGGGTGACTTTGGGCCAATCACCAGGAGACGGTGAGTTCTAGTCCCGGCTTAGCTGGATAACTTTGGGCCAATCCCTCTCTCTCTCTCAGCCCAACCCACCTCACAAGGCTGTTGTTATAGGGAAAACAGGAAGGTGAAGGTGTATGAAGATACGTTCGCCTCCTTGGGTTGTTTGTAAAAATAATAAAGGTGGACTATAAATAAATAAATTATTGGGTATTATTTGATGTTTGGGATATGAAGGGAGCCGTCAACTTTGGATTGTTCACCAGATGTCAGCGAGTGCATTTTCACCGATGGAGACAAAGGGGAAAGTGGTTTACGGAGGGAGCCATCTGAAGTCAGCTGAAGGGGAAGGGAAGAGAAGGAACATACCTAGAACCTCTACGTTGAGGTCTCCTCTTCCATGGACCGAAGGTCCATCTTTAGTCACTGTGTAGGTTCCAGAGTCATCCTGCTTTAGATTGTCCACGAAGAGAGAGCAGTTTTTATCTGCAGTTTCTCGCCCGGTGTAGGCAGGTCCGAAGACGTTCCCATTTAAAGGAGGCAGGTAGACGGTGACGATCAAGTTTTTTTTAATCTCCGTCCCTCGATACCAGTTGCAAATAAAGAAGGCAGTCGGGGAAGAGCCGGTGGTTAAATTGACTCCCTGCCCTTCGATGGCATTGGAGGGGCTCATGAAAACGGGGAGACTGTATTGGGTTACCTGGGCATGAGTCAACAGGAAATTAGAGCTGAGGAAGAAAACTATAACACGGAGGGGGGAAAAAAAAGAAGAAACGTCCGATCAAAATATTCATTCTATCCAAGCGACATTTAACAAATACGTCCTGTATGGAAGGACTTTTATCTGGCCCTGTCTTCCTTTTCAGTTCTCTCCATTCTTTCATTGACTGTAGGCGACCCCCGGATTATTGCATGTACAGTTCTCGACCTACATCCGTAACTGAGCTCAAAATTTCTGTTGCTAAACGAATCAGTTGTAAAGTGAGTTTTGCCCTATTTTACGACTAGTCTAATCTATTTTAGTCTATATTCTATTCTATTCTATTCTATTCTATTCTATTCTAGTCTAGTCTAGCCTAGTCTAGTCTAGTCTAGACTAGTCTAGTCTAGACTAGTCTAGATTCTATTCTATTCTAGTCTAGTCTAGTCTAGTCTAGATTCTATTCTATTCTATTCTATTCTATTCTATTCTATTCTATTCTACTCTAGTCTAGTCTAGTCTAGTCTAGTCTAGTCTAGTCTCTCAATTTTCCATGTAGCCTGTCAAGCTTTGATTAGAGAGGGGAAGATTTCAGCCTATTTCGGTGAGAAGAGCAGAAGAGAAGAGCAGAAATGCATAGAATGTCAACCAGCATCCATTGTCATGAGACACTGCAAGACAAGAGATAAGAAGAAATCTAAGTCTCTTCTGAATGGGTGGCCCTGAAGGAGAATGCTAAGGGTTTGAGAATGGGAAATAACAGAGTAACAGAGTTGAAAAGGATCTTAGAGGTCTTCTAGTCCAACCCCCTGCTGAAGCAGGAGACCCTATACCCATTTCAGACAAGGGGCTGTCCATTCTCTTCTTAAAAGCCTCCAGTGATGGAGCACCCACAACTTCTGGAGGCAAGTCGTTCCACTGGTTAATTGTTCTAACTGTCAGGAAATCTCTCCTTAGTTCCAGGTTTCTTCTCTCCTTGATTAGTTTCCACCCATTGCTTCTTGTCCTGCCTTCAGGTGCTTTGGAGAATAGGTTGACCCCCTCTTCTCTGTTTTAGCCCTTAGATATTGGAACACTGCTATCACGTCACCCCTTAGATAGACCCAATTTCTGCAACCGTTCTTCACATGCTTTCACCTCCAGTCTCCTAATCATCTTTGTTGCTCTTCTCTGCCCTCTTTCCTGAGTCTCAACATCTTTTTTTTTAATATGGTGGTGACCAAAACTGGATGCAGTACCCTGAAAGGCCCTTCCCATTTGTAGGGTCTCCTGCTTGGATTAGATGACCTATAAGGCCCTTTCCAGCTCTGTTATTCTGTTATATTTCCTGCCATCTATGGTGTCTAGCCATATTTACTCTGATCTCAGTGGGACCTCAACAATCTTCTCACACCCTCAGTGACTCACCGGCCAAGCATGGCGACTTCCACCCAAGAGTGAAGGGGCTTTGCTCCATCATGTTGGTTGACTTCTTCTAGACAGTGGCACCCAAACACAAGAAGAATTCCGGAATCTGTTCTCTGTCACCAGAACCCTGGACTATCAAAGCTGATTGACCAACTCTCCCCTCAGATGGAAGAAGGGGTTTGCTCCCGGCTCCGACCCACAAGTTTTACACTTTCTCCAAGAGAAATCTCCTCCCTTTCTCTGGCGTCATTCTTGCCAAGATGGATGTCAGGATTGAAAAATGGAGACAAAAGCAGGGGGGGAATGGAATGAGGAAGGAAAATGCACACCTGGAACTAGACATTAGCCTTCCTTTACAGGTGCTGTCCCGGGAGCAAAGAATTCAGAATAGATTTGCATTTCTTTGCAACCCTCAGTCCGGAGACGTGGATTGCAAGGTGGCAGCGATGCCCATCCTGCAGATCTGCTAATGTGGCCATCCATGTAAGATCTGTTTCTCTAATGGGGGGCAGGGAGTCCTTGACACTTGCCAGACATTTGTGAAGTGGGTTTTGCCGCCGTTTTATGACCTTTCTTGCTTTAGTTGTTAAGTGAATCATTCCAGTTGTTAAGTAAGTTACACGGTTGTTAAAGGAATCTAGCTTCTGAATTGACTATTCTATTCTATTCTATTCTGTTCTGTTCTGTTCTGTTCTGTTCTGTTCTATTCTATTCTATTCTATTCTATTCCTCCACTCTATTCTATTCTATTATTAAATGGTTCTCCTGCTTGAGCAGGGGGCTGGACTAGAAGACCTCCAAGGTCCCTTCCAGCTTCTATTCTATTCTATTCTATTCTATTCTATTCTATTCTATTCTATTCTATTCTATTCTATGCTATTCTATTCTATTCTATTCTATTCTATTCTATTCTATTCTATTCTATTCTATTCTATTCTATTCTATTCTTTTTCACCTGATATGAAAAGGAGGTTTACAGGCAAGAGACAAAAACATTAGCCAAGATGTAAAGGACAGCCCTGGGTGGGGTCAAAAAAGTCAAGATGGTGGCTGCAACCACACAACTGAAGCCCCACCCCCTTTTTTACAGCAACTATCCTTTAAGAGGGGATTGATTATGCATGTCTATGGAAATTCCCCATCATCTAGGTCATGGCTATCCCAAAGCTGCTTTTCCCAAAAGCAGCTAGACTTTATTGTTTTTTCCTTGAAGACATTTCACTTCTCATTCAAGAGGCTTCTTCAAGTTCTGACTGAAAGGTGGAGAAAGGAAGAATTGACATTCCTTGCAGTCCTTCCATTCTCCACTATTCAGTCAGAACTTGAAGAAGCTTCCTGAAGGAGAAGCGAAGCGTCTTCAAGGAAAAACAAAGGAAGTCCAGCTGCCTTTGGAAAAAGCACCTTTGGGACTTTGATTATGCAGATTAGGACACCATCTTTATTGGGGGAGGGGCGCCCTCGTTCCGACGGACACCCTTGCTCCGATGATCCATCAATGCTGCCGTGTTGGAAACCTTCTTGGGATGTAAGGTTCTACATTTAGGCAAGAAAAACCAAATGCACAGGTATAGTATAGGGGGTACCTTGCTCAATAGTAGCAACTGTGAGAGGGATCTCGGAGTCCTAGTGGACAATCACTTAGATGTGAGCCAGCCGTGTGCTGCAGCTGCCAAAAAAGCCAACACAGTGCTAGGCTGCATTAACAGAGGGATAGAATCAAGATCACGTGAAGTGTTAATACCACTTTACAAGGCTTGGTAAGGCCACGCTTGGAATACTGCATCCAGTTTTGGTCACCACAATGTAAAAAAGATGTTGAGACTCTAGAAAGAGTGCAGAGAAGAGCAACAAAGATGATCAGGGGACTGGAGGCTAAAGTGTATAAGGAACGGTTGCTGGAATTGGGTATGTCTAGTCTAATGACGAGGGGGGACATGATAGCAGGGTTCCAATATCTCAGGGGCTGCCCCAAAGAAGAGGGAGTCAAGCTCTTCTCCAAAGCCCCTGAAGGTAGGACAAGAAGCAACGGGTGGAAACTAACCAAAGAGAGAAGCAACCTAGAACTAAGGAGAAACTTCCTGACAGTTAGAACAATTAACCAGTGGAACAACCTGCCTCTAGAAACAGTGAATGCGCCAACACTGGAAGTTTTACCGAAATGGTATAGGATTTCCTGCCTGAGCAGGGGGTTGGACTAGATGACCTCCAAGGTCCCTTCCAACTTGATGATGATGATGATGATGATGATGATGACCTTTATGGACTTGGCATTACTTTATGGCAGGTGTGATGGGTGTTAGATTGTGCCCAACATTCATGGACAAAAGAGCGCAAATGTTCTCACAGCAATAAAAGCAGAAAGGACAATGAATCTCAAAGCTATTTCCTGAACAGCTGAGGTTCCAAAAAACCACCAACTTGGTCCTCTCTCCACAATGCATTTAATTGAACCAGCAGAAGGATTGATGTGAAGGGGCCACACCATAAAGGGTTCAATTTCTTAGCTAATTAAGTCCAAGGAATTTAGTTTAGTTCTAAAGAGAACCAACAATTAACAGGATGAATGAATATTTTCTTGTGGCAGGCTTTGCAAGGACCCCAGCATGAAAGCAATGATACTCCTGGGAAACTTAATCAAATAACCTTATTTGCTCACCCCTGTCCTTCAAGAAACAGAGCCAAATAGGCAGAGTGGCCAAAAAAAAAAAAAAAAAAAAGGAAAGTTTTCTATTGCAGGAAATCCTCAACTTACACTCATTCGTTTAGTGACCATTTGAAGTTGCAAAAATGACCACCATGACAAGTTATGACTGTGGGAAGTCAGTCCCCCAGAGAAGAAATATTAAAAGGGCAGGAAAATATATTTCCTCAAAGGATCTTAAAGAGGCAGAAAAGCATGCCCAGTTTTTCTTAATAGCCCCAAGTCTCCCTTCCCCAAGTAGAAACCAGCTCTATAGAAATGCAGATGTAAACCATCAGGAAAGTTGAAGCTAGAAACTTAGGAAGAAAAAGACTCCTAAAATCTACGTACCCCACACAAACTCTTAAAACAGGACATAATAGGATTAACACAGAGATACCAAAGGGCACACTCAGACTCAGGTCAAAGTTCACGCCACAGGAACAACTCCAAACAAAAGGCTCCAGAGGGTATAAAAGCCCACTCCCTACATGTGCTCACCCTTTTTTCCCTCTTTCCTGCCAGAACCATCTTTCTGTCTGGCTCTCCTCTTCAATAAACTGCAACCTTCTTTGTAAAGCAGTCGTCACGTTGTTTATCCCCGGCTTGGACTGAACCATGATGAAGACTTTTCTTCCAACATGACCATAGTGGGCTGGCTCCATTTGGAACATAACTCAAGAGCTACCTCTACTTGGTGCATCTTGATCTCCTTCCAAGACCTACACATAACTTTGCTTGTGTTGATGGCCATTCCTTTGTCAAGATGCAGGTGTGATGGCCTATTGTGGATGAAGGAAATATTCTGACTTTTTTTTCCAAATCATAATTTCCCTGTGATTTTGCTTCGAGGCTGCTTTGTGTTATCTCGAAGAACTTCAAAAGCTTTTCTATTTGTTTCAAAAGTATAACTCACTGCAGATGTACTTCAACCTTATTTTTTTCCCCGTTTCCTTCTTTTTTTTATAAGGGGGAGATTAGAGACGAACACACAACATTCTGGGGAGGGCCACTGTGATATTTCGAGCAGCTGCTCTTCTATTATGACACCATTTTAGATATTTTTTTCTCACTTTTTATTCTAGCTAAGGACATTTTAGCAAGATCCTTGATTTTCAAGTTAATTTTTAAATTGACTCTTTTGAGGGTCTTACTTTAACAAACCACAAGCACCATTGTGCTGCATTTATTCTTAAAAATATACTAAGCTGTGGGTCATTGTGTTAATTTATCAATATGTTATATAATGCATCTTTGGGAAGGGGGAGGAATTTTAATTGTTATACCCTACCAGTTGTTAATAATAATAATAATAGTAGTAAAGTTGGAAGGGACCTTGGAGGTCATCTAGTCCAATCCCCAGTCTCTTCTTAAAAACTTCCAGTGTTGGAGCATTTACTGCTTCTGGAGGCAGGCTGTTGTGTTGTACATTGGAAGAAATTCTAACCTGAGAAAAGAAATGGAGCAATAAATATTATGTCTGAGCAATAAGTATGATAAGACGGTGGATTCCAGCCTGGGTTTTCTTTTATGAAGGATAATTAGAGTATTTTTTTCAAAAAGAATGGGGGTGAATGGAAGGTGTTAACCAAAACATTCCAAAGGTGCTTTTGCCAAAAGGCAAATGGACTTTCTTGTTTTTTTTTCTTTGAAAACATTTCGCTTCTCCTCCAAGAAGCTTTTTCAATTCTGAAAAACTGAAGGGGGGGAAAGAAAAAACAAGGCCAGTTACCTTTTGGAAAAAGCACCTTTGGGACAACTGTGACCTGGATGATTATGAATATCCATCGACTGCGAAATGAGAGATTTTATTGATTAAAATGGTGGACAATATATTCCTTCTCTTGCCTATCAGCTAAAGGAACAATCTTAGAGGTTGATGACACTTTAGCAGAGATAAGAGACAAGGTTGATTCTTTTGGGGGCAATACTGCCACCTTCTGGTTGTCAATGCTGCTAACATCAGATGTTTTTGCATTGACAACAAATGGAAATGTAGCCACCTTTTTCCCTTTCGCTTTTAGAGTTAGATGATGTTGGGAGAGGGGATGTGAATGGGAGTTCAGCTAGACCAGGGGTAGGCAACCTTGGCTCTTTTATGACTCGTGGATTTCAACTCCCAGAATTCCTGAGCCAGCCCTGTTGGCTCAGGAATTCTGGGAGTTGAAGTCCACGAGTCATAAAAGAGCCAAGGTTGCTTACCCCTGAGCTAGACATAACAACACTAAACCTAGCATGAGAAACAAGGTTATTGTAACCAGAACTGATAAGGAATTAGGGGGCTGGAGAACTGGAGAGGAACCCTGCACTTCAAGCTAATTGGGGAATGTGATTTATGACTGTCAATTGGAGGAGGGAATTGTGCTTTGCTACTATGTGCTCAGGAGAGGGGAATTCAGTTTTTGGCTTCGATTATGCAGTGCCGATGTTATGCTTCTCGAATAAAAGATTCTTTAA